CACTAAAATAACCAGAATTGCTGTAGTGAGAGTTTAAGCTATATCTTTTAGAATTTTTTCTTCGGAAAAAAAATATTCAGAGGAAGCTCAACATCAGTGTGCCAACGCTATCACAATATTGCTGTATGTAAACCTGAACTCTGTTGAAATTTCTTAGCCTGCAGTTATTAATGTAGACAAATATCAGCAGGGTTGTGCTTTCCTAATAAAATAAAACAAAAGCGATTGAAAATTTATATTAATAAAAGTTACATTGGGCTACAAATTGTTGTCAGTTTTCCCCTTGAGATTAATCTCAATAGAAGGATACACACACACAAAGGAAAAAAAAAAAAAAAAGAAATGAACAGTTTTCTTGCCCTTTTCCATTCCAATTTGGAGGCATCACAAAAAATGCTGTCTTTAGAAGGACCATGTTTCTCTAAGAACATTTCTCATCACTTAGTTTAGGAGGAAATTCTGGCTTTTTTTCAAATAATTGTATTTGTTACTTATTACCCACTGCTTCTATCACTACATCAGTGATAGAAGAGTTAGATATTGCAGTTATCTTAGTTGTTATAAATAGAAGAGATTTACTGGCATTTTCCTTTTTTTAAATCTCAGCTGTTCTTAAATTAGCTGTGTTGGTTTCTCTGAAGCAAAGTCAGTTACAGAATTTTTTTCTTTTGGTATCAAAACCAGCTATTCAGTAGCAGCATATACATTTTACTGTAGAACCAGCATTGTCCAGACTTCTTGTTCTACAGCATACCATATATTTATTGGCAATAATCATACCCCATCTTAACTTTTGCCTCTGTAAGCCAAGGCCAAAGCATGTTAGTAAGAAGAGCTAGGTTGCTAGACATCATCATTAGCACATAGCCTAGAGAGCGCCTTTCAAAGCAGAACCTGGATAATCATAACTGTGCAGTATATTTAAGGTAAAAGAGGATTTTGGCCCCATATAGCAGTGTCCGTCCCTCCCTAGTTCTAACTGGAACACACCTCTATTTTTCTGCATTTGCTCAGTTTTTCCATCCCTAGCAAAATACTGGCTCATAGCCTGTCTGTAATCACTACTAAAATCCAGTCGTTCTCCACCTTTATTGTGGCTGGTAAACATCCAGCTTTAGCATTTGTATCTCTCACTAGTTGATCTTCTAGGGTCATAAACAACATATTAGGCTTATCACAGATCACATTATTTGACTTAGACGAGTGGAGTTTATGCTCTTTAGTATTGCTATATAGGAAATCTCCCAGCAGAAAGTTATTACTCTAATTTCTTATTAATATCTTCCTTAGACCAGCTGAGTTTGCCTTGCTTAGTATTCATACAGGGGTAGTATTCCAGCAGAAAGTTAATCTTCTACTTTTTCATCAAAATAGGATTGTATCACTTTTTCTGTATATATCTACAGGGGTTTTGTCATTTATGGATTTATCACTTTGAAGCTACAGTACACTTGGATATGACTACAGGTTGCCAGACACATTATAAGACAAATAAACACCTGAAGTAATAGGATAAAAATTGGTGAAAGCTGGACTTCTGCAGTTCAAATAAGGAGTTGCACTCTATAAGCCTATATGCTGTAACTAGCAGTAACGAAAGAGTCAGGATGATACTGTGGCAGCTCACAAAAGGATTTCCCTAGGCACTAGAACACAGAAGAGTATGAGCCAGATCACATAACAGACAGAACAGCCTCAGTGCTTTACATATGCATATATGCTAAATATGTGCATACATATATTTTATATAAGATATATAAATATGCACATTTAAGTACATGAGAAGTTGTAATTCAAACAAAGGAGATTCACCTACTCTGTGTCACTAAAAAGCTGCCGGTCTTAAACTCACAAATTGTGGTTCATTGAAGAGTTCCGTAATGCAGGCATCTGGTACTGCTCTTCTGTACAAGGGTGGATTTCATCCACTGAGAAAAGAAAAACGTAAGCAATACACTGGACACTGTTGATATAGTACGTAATTTCAGGGAATACTAATAGGATTAACTGTCCATAGGGACCTTTAATTTCATATGCATGCAACACCAATTGTTCAGTGTTGTAAGATGAGTGATACTGCTATTCAATACTATCTCTTTTTCAAGTCTGTTTAATTATTGAAATAACAACAGTACTGAAATTACTAAATAACCAAAAAGGAAAAAACGAAGACAGTCCAAACTGAAACACATGGAATCCTATTCTGAGTGAGACAAACTAATAATTTGTTAAGTTAAAGGAAATACACTAACCAGTCTCTAAAATCAAGGAGGTTACTCAGGTTCCAAGTTAAGACTTTACTGTTTGGAGCACTTGCAGAACTGAAACTCAACAGGCTGACAGATAACAGTTTTGTTGGTCATGCAATAGTTTGAAAGATATTTCTCATGAATGTTCAAAGACATTATGTAGCTTTATTTTTGTGCTCTTGTTTCTAGGAGACAGCCTCCTCAGTGGATGGGTTAGGACACAGGAAATGACAGAGTTCTGCCCAAATACAGGAGTCAGAATTTCCTTTGGCAAAAATTTAACCACCACCAAATTACTTTTATTTTTTTGAGCATAGGTCTCATTTTCAGAAGTGATCCAGGAGTTCACATTTTATTGACATTATTTCAGATATTAATAAAGAGTTTTATAAAACAGTCAGTAAGTGAATTGTGTGTTGTACATTTGTCGAGTGCAATCACAACTCAGTTGTGGTTTAAGCCCAGACAGCAACTAAGTACCACACAGCTGCTAAATTTGGCTGCCACACTGAGATGGGAAGGAGAATTTAAAAAAAAAACAAGGAGAGATAAAACCTGTGGGTTGAGATACAAACAGACACAACACCCTGAGACTGTGCCAAGCAGATCCCTGGAGGGGCCAGTGTCTGCTCTCCTGAAGTCCAGAGTAAGGAAAGCGGCTAAGATGGAGGTTCAGGGGAGACCATCCTCTCTTTTCCTAATCCTGCAGAAGAGGACTGCCTGTGAGAGGAGCTGCCCCAGCCAGGATGTGCATTATATTTAGGGAGTCTCTTCTTCAGGAAAACATGGAGCTCTTCCTCATTTCGGGGCACCCTCAAGAGCTTTGTGGTGGCAGCCACATGGTGGCATGCCCCAAAGTGCCTGGCCCTCACTGCTGTCCTGCTCCATCCCTCCCATGGACCACTTAACTGGAGAGCTCCCGGCACTGGGGCTGAGCTGCTGCCCACACCTGCCTGCCACCTTTCAGAATCTGCTTCCCAGGGAGCAGGCTGAAACACTGGTGTCAAGAGTTTTGGGGACCACATCTGGCACAGCAAGGGCAGCTGAGCATGGGGTGAGGCTGCTCAGGGGGACCACAGCCTCTCAGTGCCTTCTGGGCCCCAGAGACATATGCAAAGATTAAACTCTCATAGAAATTTTGATTGGAAAATGCTGGCAGGGGGAGGTGGCTCTTTGGTAGCTCACAAAGGCTGCCTCTGAGCAGAATCCTCTTATCAGAGGTCCCAAGCCATGGAGGTGGCTTTCTGTCCTTCCCCAGCGCTCCAGGGGAGCAGGAGGCAGGATGTTTGAGAGCAGCTCTCTGGTACCCAGAGGAAGACCCAACCCTTGCAGGGCTTTCAGCAAAATCCCCCCTTGGCACAGCAGCTGGCAAAGCTCCAGCCTTCTCCTTCCATGCCAGCAGTAAGACACAGGAGCAGGCTCGCATGTGGCTCATATCACAGCTCGCAACATCTGTCTGCTTAACCTGAGATATGTGGCACCTCCAGCACTGGGCCATGTTCCCGTGTTTCATACCACATCCCCATTAATATTGCAGGGTGCCACACTGCTGCAGGCACTCCGTAACCCACCCCGGAGCTGCGGCTGTATTGCAGGGTGGTGTCAGCTCACGTACCCCACAAGCGCCACCCTGTGCCAGGAGTCATCTGGGCTGGGGAAGGATTGAGAGGCTGAATCTGTAACGGATCCTCACTGGGTGACTGGTGTTTAAGGCTTTGATCTGCTGCTTCTTGATTGTATTCCAGCCCCTTGATGGAATTTCTCACATGTAACTGAGCCCCACTAATCCATCCTGGCCATATATAATGGATGGCGCTGGATTGAAGGAACACAAACGTGGCTGAATATCGGCAACAGATATTCGGCAGCAGTGTGGTGGGTCCCCCTGCCAAAGATCCCCCACTGCCAGTACTTGCACCATGTGCCAGCCAGTGCAAAACACGTCTTGTCCCCAAAACCTAGCGTGGAGGTAGGCACAATGACCAGCTTTGGCCATTCTCTGTTGGCCTGAGGAGCGGGACAAGGCTTGGAGCCAAGCCACCGAGCCACTATTTCCAGGACTGGTGCCGGTGCCACCCACTGAGCTCCAGCACTGCCACTCGATGCTCCGGTGAAATATTAATGCAATGCTCAGTGCGCTCCCTGCCCCAGCGCTGCAGCCGCGGCCTTAGCCCGCTCCAGGGCTGCTCAGCTTCCAGCCTTCCCTCCTGCCTAGTACTGAGCATTGCTTCTTGAACAGGGGTGCAGCTGCACCCACTTTTGGGTGTTGCCCGGATAGAACCCGACCTCCTGCACTCAGCGGCGGGCTCCCAGGTGCCTCCTGTCCCCGGGGGCTGGCTCAGCCCCCCCCCCTCCGCAGAAGGTAAGGCCCCGCTGGGGCTGTGGGTGCCCCCATCCCCTGGGAAAAGCCAGCCCGCCGTGGGCATGGGGCGCCCGGAGAAGAGCTGGCGGAGATGTGGGCGGCCCCGGGCTTGGTCATCAGCTGCGGGGGCATCGCGATGTCCCCCGGGGAAAGAAGGCGCAGCAGATGTTCTGCAGCTCCATCCCGTTTTCTGACGGAAACGCTCAGCAGTGGGTCTTTCCAGGGGAAGGTTTCCCTCAAGAGCTGGGGCGATGTGCTGGGCATCTTCACGGAGTACCCCTTACCCTGTCCTTCCTTGGGGGCCCTGGGAGTGTTGGGAGGGAGGCATCTCCCCTTGCCTGCCCTCCTTCTCCAGGAGGAAGCCTGCGCCTCTCCCCCCGGCAGCCACCCGGCCCGGCTGGGGATGGAGCCCGGCGGGTTGGTACCGGCGGAACTAAAGCTTCGCAAGCCCTCACAGCGAGCCAGGATCCCGGCGCCCTTCTTCACCCACCCGGTAGGTCGCTGGCTCCGCCCGCGGCCCCCGGCCTATCCCCCTCGAGCTGCCCCCCCAACCCCGATCTTCCCGTGACTCTGCCCGCGCAGCATGGAGCGGCCGAGCCGGCGGAACCCCCGGGGCCGGACCCCGCGGAGGCAGAAGTTGACTTCCTGGTACCCACACACGACGAGAGGGGCCGCCCCATCCACGAGTGGAAGAGGCAGGTGATGGTGCGGCGGCTGCAGGCCCGGCTGGTGTACCAAGAGGAGGCGGGCGGCCAGGTACGGGCGTCCCGGGGATGGGAAGAGACCGGACCCACGCTGCCAGCCCGGGGGCCGCCGGCTGACGGACCCTTTCCGCAGAACGAGGGCTCCTGGAGCTTTTCGCCCTCCCGTCAGGCCATGTTGGGCCCCTTCGGGGAGCTGTTGACCGAGGCAGACCTGCAGCATCTGGAACGGACGGTGGAGAGCCTGCGGCTGCGGCGCCGGGGCGAGGCGTACCAGAGCGAGCTGCGGCGGCTGGCGCGGGAGCTACGCGCCCTCCTGCCTGCCCCGCTGCTCAGCATCACCGTGCGCAGCCCCCCGCCCGCTCCCGGGCAGCCGCTGCCCCTCTGGTGTGGCCGCTTGGCGGGCGCCGTGAGCAGCCTGGCCGCGATGCTGGCACACGCCGAGGGGGCGCGGGTCTCCTCTCTCGCCGCTTCCCCCGCCGGTGCCCCCGCCGCCGCCGTCGGGCAGCCCCGAGAGACGGCGGGCAGCCTGGCGCAGCGGGAGATCCGGCAGTACGGGGTCTGCGTCCGCAGCCTCCGCGGGGCCTTCGAGCCCGCCTGGGGGGCGGTGGAAGAGAAGGCGGCCGGAGGGAAAGGTACGGAGGCCGCCAGCGACTCGGGCATCAGCTGCGAGGAGGGGTTCTCCGACGGCGGCGGCGGCGGATCCCCGGGGCCGGGGCCGGAGTGGGGCAGCCTGAGGAAGGAACGGATCGTGATGCTCTTCCTGAGCCACTGGAAACGGTCCTCTGCCTACGGGCCCTCCTTGCCGGCCGCCGGGGACACCCGGGAGGCAGCGGCGACTGGGGAGTGGGGGACGGCCCGCCTGGCGCGGCAGAGGGAGGCCATCCAGCGGCTTCTGGGCGGCTGGCGGGAAGCTGCCTCCCGCCGCCCCCCGCCGCCGCCGCCCCCTACGAGCGCCCTGCTCTCTCCAGAGCAGTTCGTGGTGTTGGCCGGGGGGAAGGCGGCAGACTACGACAGCCTGTCGCTGGAGCTGTTCATGCTGGGCTATTTCCGCATCCTGGAGCAGGAACTGTCTCCCGAGGAGCGCCGCGGCCGCCACCTCCTCTGCTTCGAGGTGTTCGAGCAGCTGGGCCGGCATGGCTGGCATGCGGTGCGCGCTTTCCACCGCGCCGTCACCGACGAAATCGCAGCCGGCCGGCGGCGCTGGCAGGACGGTTTCGAGGACATCAAGGAGAAGTATTTCGGATCCCCCCAGAGCTCAGCCTGGCGGCTGGGGGAGGCTGGAGGAGATGGAGAGGAGATCTGCCGCTACATCGACCGCAGCTTCGCTTTCTGGAAGGAGAAGGAAGCCGAGATCTTCAGCTTAGAAGAGTGATGCCCACCCGCTGGCGGGGAGGGCTGCGTGAAACCGCGGGCTGTAATAAAGGCCTCTTTTTTCTGTCCGAGCTGAGTGAAGCTTCCCGAGGTGATGGAGAAAGCTATTTGTGTGGAAGGGGGACTGCCCCAGCACCCTGACCCCCTCCCACCCTCTCCAGGACCAGTGTTTTGGCCCCTGGGGCGGCCTCACTCCCTGCGGTGAGGCGGCTGCCGCTGCTTATTTGCGGCCGAGGAGGAGTGAGATAACATCCTATATTTAACACATCACAACGATAGCCAGAGGGAGTAGGGACATCGCAGAGACGCCCCCGACGGGAAGGTCGGGGCGATGCTGCAGTAACACCCGGGCTCGTGGTGCCCAGCTGGCTGCAGAGGGATGCCTTCCAAAACAGCAAAGTCACGAGGCGACAGGGATGGGGAGGAGCAGGCAGCTCTGCCTGTACGGTGCCTTTAAGAGCAGGGAGCGGTGTCCCAGTGGCGCCTAAAAATAGCGTGCTGCCTTGTCCCGGCTGTTTCCCGTGTCTCAACAAGAGTGTCCCTCCCCAGTGCCGGACCGCGGCCACTTCCCTCCCGGCGGGCTGGCCGGGGGGCTGCAGAGCCCAGGTGAGAGCGGGAGCGAGCGAGACAGAGCGGGGCTGAACTCACCCCAAACACCACCGCCCACCCCCTAAAAATCGGTGGCAGCTCCGACAGGGCAGCTTCGGAGGAGCATGGGGAGGCCACCGGTGCACGTGGGAATGGGGGGGTCCAGGGAGCACTTCCCTGGTCCCTGCTGGTGCCTGTAGATCAGGCGCTGGGAAGGTGCGGCTGTGCGGAGGGAGGGAGATGTCATCGCCTTTCCCTGGCAGGGGCACCCCTGCCACGCTCCGCGGGGTCTCTCTCAGCCAGCGAGGCACTGCGCTCATCCCCAGCACCATGGTGAGGAATGTGGACGACTTTGACTTCTGCCTGCCTTCACATGCCCAGGGCATGCTGGAGGGGCTGCAGCGGCTGCGCTCCAACCCCAAGTTGGCAGATGTGACGCTGGTGGCGGGCGGGCGGGAGTTCCCCTGCCACCGCGGCATCCTGGCCCTCTGCAGCCACTACTTCCATGCCATGTTCTCCGGTGACTTCGCCGAGAGCATTGCAGCACGGGTGGAGCTGAAAGAGGTGGACGCTGGTGCCCTGGAGATGCTGCTCGACTTTGCCTACACGGGGAAGGTCACCATCAACCAGGACAACGTGGAGGGGCTGATGCGAACCTCCAGCCAGCTGCACTTCCCCACTATCCAGACGGTCTGCAGCCGCTACCTCCGGCAGCAGATGGATGCCACCAACTGCCTAGGTATCTGCGAGTTCGGCGAGAGCCACGGCTGCCCTGAGGTCTCCTCCAAGGCCTGGTCTTTCTTGCAGGAGAACTTTGAAGCTGTTTCTCTGCAGGAGGAGTTCCTCCAGCTCTCCAAGGAGAGGTTGGCTGTCTACCTCTCCAAGGACCAGCTACAGGTGCAGGAGGAGCAGAGCCTGGCTGAGGCTGTGCTGCGCTGGGTACGCCATGACCCAGGGTCCCGAGCCCAGTTCCTTCCTGAGCTGCTGGAGCTGGCTCACCTCGTCTTGCTGCCTGACCAGTACCTGCAGAACCTGCTTACCACTGAGCCCCTTATCCGTGACTCAGATGCCAGCAAGGCCCTTGTCACACGATCCCGCACCACGGTGGGTACCCCTGCCCCAAATCCCACTCCACAAGCTGGTGGCTCAGCTTGGACCCTGATGGTCTTGTCCTGGCCTCTCCATCAGGGCCAGAGTGATGCTGGTGCGCAGAACTCCCCCACCTCACTGCAGAAGCTGGAGGAGGTGCTGGTGGTGGTTGGTGGCCGCGTGCTGGAAGAGGGTGAGGATGAGGACAGGGAGCTGCAGATGCCGGCCACCCCCAGGAACTTTGCCTTTTACAACCCCAAAAGTAGTAAGTGTGCATGGCATGGATGGGGCAACTGTACACCCATTACATGTTAATTAACCCTCCATCTACCCCAAAGCCACCTCTTGCCAAATGATCTGAGGTCAGGAGGGGCGCTGGGGAAAAAGGGGGGCGGGGGGGGGAATGAAACAGGGCTGGCTCAAAAGCATCACCACTGTCTGAGGGGGGAGCTCTTCACTTGGCTCTGCTGGGTTTCAGGGCGATGGATGGCTCTGCCAGATTTCCCCGATTACAACAAATGGGGCTTTTCCCTGGTGGCTCTCAACAATGATGTTTATGTCACAGGTAGGTGCTAGCGCAGGGTGAGTGTCCCCAGAGAGTGGGGATGGAAGGTGAAGGACAAAGATGTGGGCACAGAGCACTGTCATGGGGCCAGGGGCTACCCTCCTCTCCCAGCAAAACCCTCTCCTAGCCCCCCTCTTGGGTGGATCTGGCAGGGGATGGCAGAGACGTCTGGCAGGGGATGGCAGAGACGTCTGCACTCAGAGGGGTGTCCACCTGACCTGTCCCTTCCCAGGTGGTTCCCGTGGGTCCCAGAACGACACATGGTCAACAACCCAGGCCTGGTGCTTCTGCCCCAGGGACGGTGCCTGGAAGCCCATTGCTTCCATGCTGAAAGCCCGGACAAACCACACCAGTGCCATCCTCAATGGCGAGATCTATGTCATTGGGGGTAAGGCTGCAAAGACCCCGCGGGTGTTGCTGGGGCAGGGGTTTGTGGGTGCCCCAGAGCAGTGGGCAGTGTCCTGCCGCCTTGCAGGGACGACGGTGGACGTGGTGGAGGTGGAGCGCTATGACCCATACAACAAGAGCTGGTGTGCCATCAGCCCGGCCCTCAAGTATGTGAGCAATTTTGCAGCAGCCAGCTGCTTGAGCAAGCTCTACCTGGTGGGTTCCTGTGCCGTCAAGTACAATGCACTCACCCTGCAGTGCTACAACCCTGTCCAAGGTGAGAGCTGGCCCTGCCGCTGCATCCCACCAACACTTTCCTGGGAAGCAGGACTGAGGGTGACCCCCCAGACAGGCAAAATCCTGTGCCACTGGGCATGTTCTTGTGGGATGCAACCGGGTGCCAATGGGGCTCTGGTGATGGCTGTGGCACAGGGTAGGGGGCCATCCAGGAGTACAGCTGCTGGCAGCACAGCCCAGACCAGAGCTTTAGTGGAGACGAATCCCTGTGGCAGAGGGGTGAGGGAATCCTGCCTGCCTTAGGGAGAAGCCAAACCCCTGTGACAATGCCACCTCCTCGGGTGGTGGTCTCCCACACCACCACTACAAAAAATATCCCCCCACACACACATTTTTTAATGCAAGAGTCTCATCTGGAATGGGAACCATGGGTGCCATCCTGCCTGGCTGCTCTGTCCCCTCCCTTTCAAAATGCCCCTTAAATAGCCATGGGATAGGCAATGCTTTTTTTGGTCACTGGCAGCTGCATCAAGAGCCAAGGGTGGGACACGCTGCTGATGGCTGCTCCTTGCAGATTTGTGGAGTGTGATCACATCCCCCTTCATCCCCAAATACCTCTCTGCCCCACGCTGTGCCACCCTGCGCGGGCTCATCTACCTTATCGGGGACAACACCAAGAAGGTCCACGTGTATGACCCAGAGGCCAACATCTGGCAGAAGGTAGTGGGATGGTGGGCTGGGGCAAAGCACTCCTATGGAGGTGGGGCAGGTGTTCCCCCCCTGTCAGCACCCCACAATCATACCCTGACTCTGCTCCTTCCTGCCTGCTCATCCATTTGCTCTATTAACCCCTGTGGACCTGAAGATGCCCCAATCATTCCTTCCCTGCTCCACCGTCACCCGCACTAGGTGCATGGCTTTTGTACAGAGTTGCTCATTTTAAGCTGTATTCACAATGCAGAAGCCTACAGGACCAGGGTTTTCCAGCAGGGCTTGCAAGCCTCCTGCCTTGGCACTCTTAACAAAATCCTGCCTGTCCCCTCCACTCACCCCGGGCCCCCCACAGCACCCCCAACCTTGCTCCTATACAAGCACACCAGGGAGATGCTGCTAAAAGCAAGACGTGCCTGCAGGGACTCCCAAACCTTGCAAGGAGGATGGGGCAAGGGAGTTGCGCCTGGTGGGTTAATCTCTTCAGTGGGATTGGGAGCACCCCAAGGAAGGTCCCAATCATCTCAGCAGGGTGAGATGCTTGGAACCCTCACACAGGTGCAGCTCCTCCACACGCTCCATGAGAATGGCGGGATGGTAGCACTGGGCGACCGGCTCTTCGTCACTGGCGGCCACTGGAAAGGCATGAACGGGGACTACCGGGTGGAAATGGAGGTGTACGACTGCACCAAGGACCTCTGGACACGGGAGGGCTCCCTGCCCTGCCTGTGGCTCTTCCACAGCTCCTCCTCCATCTTCATGGACACCTCCAAGTGGACAGAGGCTTTCCAGGGTGACCATAGGTAGTAGGAGAGCCTGCAGCACTGTCACCCTGTGCAGCTGCTCTTTCCCCTCCTGCCTCTCCTCTCTGCCAGCTCAGCTCTGCAGAGTGAGGGGAGACAGAAACCCCTCTGCTGAGCTGGCCAGGGCATCAGAAGCATGTGTATCCCCCTGCCCAGCCACCACTGGGAAAATTCTTTTCCTTATAAACATGCTTTGGCTAACTCTCCTTTCATCTGGTGTTCTGGTTTCAGTTTCTTTAAGAACTGCCTTTTCCCCATCCTCCAAAACCACAAAGCTTTCAAGAGTATTTAGAGGCCTCCTGAAGTGTGGCCTATTCCATCAGACTGGCATTGCTGCTGGTGATCATGGCTGCTTTCCCCATAATGTTGACATGTAGCATGGGGGAACATGAGGGGGATTGGGTGAATCCTCTCTTTCCTGACACCTGAACTTCCCCAGCACTTTGCTTGCCAAGACTGAAGTGTGAGACCTGCTCCAGAGTCATTTGATGGTTTAGCTGTTCTGTGTAAGGTTTCTACTTTTGAAGCATTAAAAATGCACACTGTAGGTTGCGGGGAGCCCCACAGGCCACATAGGGTTTTACATACAGAGGGTCACTTGTAACAGCCAGTGGCCAATCTCCAGGAAGATCGTCCCAGGCTATTGCGTGCATCTGTGTGCCAGGCACTGCCCCTGCACTCACTGGGGGACCCGCTGTGCCAGGAGAGCTGCTCAAGGAGCTACAGCTTCTGCTGAAAGATACCCACCAGCCCTGGGGCATGCTGTAGGAAGGAGGGGCCAAAAGGGGGACCCCAGAACAGGAGCAGGGGACAGCAGAGATGAGGTACCATGGAGCTGGACGGCAGAGCTAGGCACTGTCGTTTTGGGGCCAGGGAAACTATAGAATGGTTTCAGTTGGGGTGTCCAACACAAGAAGGACATGGAGCTGCTCAAGTGAGTCCAGAGGAGGCCACAAAGATGCTTCCAGGGCTGGAGCACCTCTGCTATGGAGACAGGCTGAGAGAGCTGGGCTTGTTCAGCCTGAAGAGAAGGCTCCAGAGAGACCTTGGAGCAGCTTCCAGTGCCTAAAGGGGCTTTAAAGAGAATATGGAGAGGTATTTTTACAAGGACATGTAGTGACAGGACAGGGGTGAATGGCTTTAAGTAATTTCTCTCTCAGCAGATATCCCTGCCCAGCTTCCCAGCAGCAGAAACCAGGTTACTTGTATCACTTTAACTTCCCTGCAATGTATTAGCAGCAAATGTTTACTGGCAGAAGCCATTGTCCTTTGCAACTAATCTTCAAAGCAGAGCAATATCCTGATAACACTGCACATCCGATTAAAGCAAATTCCTTCCCCATGGTTTTCCATACCAGGCATTCCCTGCCCATGGCACAGGGCCCAGGCTGTGGGCACCACAGATACGCTCCCTGCTTCATCTCCGATAGCCATCTGAGGCAAGGACGGGCACAGGTCTACATGCCTGAGCAAGGGCTGCAGGAGTGGTACCCGGGAAGGCTGGGCATGGGGCAAGGGAGCCACAGAGTTTATTTCTTAGTAGCACATAAGCTGTGCCAGCAACACTGCGAGACAGCCTGAACTGCACGTGGCTCTACATTCCCTGAGGGATCCAGGCACACAGGCAGGGGGGAGGCAGTCTCCTTGGGCTGGACCTTACTCAAGATGGCTTTCCTGTGTATTATTTTCCAAGTTGGATTTGTGTTTTTAAGTTTTCATTTTTTTATAAGAGGGAGGGAGGAGAAGAGAAGACAGAGAAGGACAAGCTGATGCTTCTCTCGCCAGCTCTTGTGCTGGACTTAAAAGGTGCCTCCTGGAGGGAGCACCAGAGATGGGTGCTTGGCTCAGCTCCCACAGGACAGCACACACCTCTCCCTAAAAGCTGTGAAAAGCAGGGAGGTGAGAAGGGAGGGTGAGCTGCCCTTCCTGAGATCTGCCATCAGGGTTTCTTTTGCCACGGATTGACTAAACTCTATGCTGCTCCATCTTGGCTCTCCAAATCTGTCTTTCAAGAGCAGAAGCAGCAGTGCAACCTTACATCAGAGTATGCAGGAATATCTGGGAGCAGAACAAGGTGGCAGTGGCAAGCACTACCTGATGTATGTGCTGGAGGCCCACTTCCTTCCTCAGTACTCTACAGAAGTGAAGAGTTAGTGCAAGCTAGGCCGAGTGAGCTGAAGCGTTAGCATAAACCCATGAACTTTAGCTTAACTGACTTCTGCTGTAGCACAAATGGATGAGATGGTCAAGCCACCTGTCCCAAACAACAGGATAGCTTTTGTGTGCTCAAGAAAACAGACAGCCTAGGATCCAGGACCATCTCCCAAACCTTCAGGGAACATAGGGAGCAGGAAAGATACAAGGAAGCCTCACAACCCTGCACAGAACTATGCACAAAATGGCAGATACCACAGTACCAACCTCCCTCTAAGACTGCACAGTTTCTCATGCAGATCAAGGAGGCTGGGCAAAAAACCACAGACACAGTGGCTCATCTCCCTCATTGCACCTCTGACTCACATGATGGGAAAGTTGCATAATCTGGAATTTATGTTCTTTGGGAGCCCATTTGGTTTAGCTTTCACTCTGTCATTTGGTCTGAAGCCAATATTTCTCTGGAAAACAGCACACTGACTCTGCAGCAACAGCTGGTGGAGGAATGGGGACAGGATGAGATACCAGACACTTAATAGCAGCAAGTACCTAAAACCCGAGATGCCTGCTCCTCAAATAGCACACAGACAAGCACAGGACCTGCCTGTATCTCAGCTGCCTGACAGATCCATTTATTGAAAACACTTTCCCAATAAACATCAGGAGCAAACTCCAGCAACTTTTGCTGTATCAGCAACTGGGACAAAACCCCATTGTTTTCTGCTAACAGAGGGAAGGTACACTGCTGCTCTGAAAGCAGTGTTTCTATCACTCAAGCTGCATTTAACCTCACAGCTCAGCTTCAGAACCAGAATATCTCCTTCCCAGCACTAAGACAGCCCACACCACATCCCGAGTCAGTGGCCTTGGTACTGCACAGTCCATACGGTACAGCCTGACTGGGAACTCCCACCGAGTCCTAAGAGCTCATGACTCTCCCAGGGCCTCATACAAAGCTCAAAGTAATGAACAGCAGAACTACACCAGCTGTCAGAGTTCATGCCCACAGATACCTGCTCTTGCTAGCACCTCTGCCAAATGGATTTATTTGGTTTGCCAAGACATTGAAGGAGGGTTGACAGAACAAGAGATTCCCCCGTAGGCTGATCCACTCTGGCAGACACTTAAAAAACATGTTGGCCAAGTGAACTACAACTATTAGAAAAAAACCAACCCAACTTTATTTACACTGAAGAACACCCAGCAGGACCCTCCCTCCCCTGGCCACACATGCACACACCCAGACTTCTCCCTTTCCTTACATCCACCAGAAGCTGGGGAACCTGCTGCCGCTCCTCATCTCTCAGTGCTCTATCCGCACCACCATGACTGTGACATTGTCCGCCGACCCTCGCTGTACTGCCTTGTTGGCCAGTCGGTTACATGCAGCTTCATACCTAGCATCTGCTTCCAGCTTCCCTTCTCTCATCTGGATGTTTTTATCCTGGTGGGACAAGGAAAGACAATACTGATTGCTCCCAACAAAGCATGTAAGTGCCCCAAATAAGGACAAAGTGCAAAACAAGTAAGGACAACCTCAGGTATAAGGGAGGATATCCGGCAGAAGTACATTTCTGCAAGTCAGAATCATTCTATTCCATGTGCCCTGCCTTGACAAGCCCAGCCCCCAGCTGCCTTCTCCTCACCTCAAGGCAGGAAACAATGAAGTTTACAGCTTCTTCTGGTGTAAAGACTTTAAAGAGGCCATCACATGCTATCAGAATGAACCTAGAAATCAAGCAGAGACAAGTTCCAAGGCTGAATCTTTGGCACCCCAGTTACAGGAAAATCCCTCCAAGCTATTTTATGAGTACCCACACTCCAATCCAAATGGAAGGTGCTATAAATCTCATCTGAAAATCTGTCAGAAACACCAGATGTCCTCTGGTGCTCCAGAATCTACTACTCACGGAACTGAAGAAATTCAAAGAACATGTCAAAGATCCGAGCAACCAATATAAGACCTAGAACAAGACATCCTGGCAGACCCATTGATACTGCACCATTAGCCAAGGCCATATACCATGCCCTGCTGGAAACCTTCATTATTTCTTTTCGACTGCTTCTTTTCTTTAAGTCCTTTTCATTCACCTAGTTCCCTGTGAAGTAGCTAATGCAAGGAAGTAAGAGAAACACAGCCAGTATGTGCACCACTTTAAATCCTTCACATTTCCACACCCCTGAGGTATGCAGTATCTTAATTTAAATAGAAACATTCAAAGGAAAACCAAGCAGCTTAACCCAGAAAGAGAAGCATAATTGTGATTGGAAACTTCTGCCACAAGGTACTCCTGCAGGCTGCAGATGGTTGAGGGGATACAAAGGCCAAGACCAGGAGAACTGAGTCATGGCTCCTCATCAGAGGATGGGGGAGCCAGCCTGCTGTGCACTCCCTGCCTGCACGGGTGACTGCACTAACCAGAAGCCCTAACCACAGTTATCGGATAAGGAAAACCTCAGGCATCCCACAGAGGTGTCCAGCCTGCCAGAGCAGCGCCTGTCTCCGAAGACATAGTTTCAGAGCTGATGCTCAGAATATCTCTAGAAATATTTTAGTGGATCACTTGATATGGAACTCTAATCCCAGAAAAAGCAGCAGTACTGGGTTACATTCTCACCTCAGAGGGCCTGCAGGGTCATACTGACATAAAAGCTCACAGCAATTTGTCGTTGCCAATCATATGTTAGAAAAGTAACTCAAATCTTCAAATATCAGAGTCAAATGCAACAGTGTTTGCAGGCAACACAGCTGCTAGGAACAACTCTTGGACAAGATGGGGATCCAAGGATTGAAGCCTTAACTAACTGCTTGAGCAGTGGTGTGTAAACTTATTCAGAGAATGAAAGAAGTCTAAGGCTCATGTACGTTGTCACCGCTGCAAGACCGGTTTCTCCAGCAGAAGCCTTCACAGTATCTTGGCAGGGTAAGGCAGCAGCATTATCCCACTACACTAATAAGAAACAGGAGCAGAGAGACAGCAGCAGTAAGAGCATCTTCTCATTCTGCACGATCTGAAGTGCCTTGGGAGTAACCGCAGAGCACACAGGGTCGTGCAGCTGAGCAGACCTAAGACACAGCCATCCCCCCTCTGTGAGGCACCCTTTACCTGTCATTGTCTGTGAGTTGGCAGCGTTTGATATCTGGCACAGAGATAACACCACAGTGTTTGTACTGGCCATCCCCAATGGAGCGGGAAACCTCCAGCACTCCCAGGACTCTTCCATCCCTGCATAAGGGAAGAAAACATTGAGAGTCCTCCACACACATGCACATCTCACTGCAATGCCTGACCAGGACATGCTTCATGGTGTGTTCAGCTGCCTCCTACAAATCCTGACCCACTCCCCCAGCAAGTTCCCATCTTCCGTTCAACGTCTCATTCCCTTTCTGCACATTTGTGTGAAACTTTGGGAAACAAGTTGAGAGGAGGAGGAAGAAATGCAGTTAGGAGAATTCAAGGCTGTTTTCCATCTCCCTGCCCTAACTCAAATCCTGTTTGGCCTAGCAAGCCAGGGAAATAAGAGTTATATGCTGAGCTGAATTCCTGGAGGTGGAGGTTTGAATTCACAGATTATTTTTTGGCAAGGCATCCAGCAGACTGCATTTCAGTAAAAGCACATAATGGCAGCAGGCAAGACCATGTCTGAGCCAGCAGTCCCTCTCCTGTGCTCTGCCTATCAGGATAACAACCACTATAGACTGGCTCAGCTATGGGCAGTTCCAAGGAGCAAGAACCATGGCACTTCCTCCTGATCATTTAGTCTTTACTAACCACTGATTACAGCAACCAGTTCTGTGAAACCCAACTTAAAATTCTCCTTAGGAAGCATTTCTGCTTGCTAAACTTTTCCAATTAACTGAGTGCTGCTCCAAAAGAAGCAGCTTCCCACACTCCACCTTTCCAAAAACAGAGCATCTTCTTCCCAAAAGGCTCTTCTGTGCACCCTGGAAAGAAAGAAGCTCATTCATCTCAGAGTCTAAACAGCCCCACTTAACAGAAAAGCATGTCACAGAGATTTGATACTCATACGCCATGCAACTTTTCTCCTGGGTCCAAAATACTGAACTGTAACCAGTGGGAAAGGCTCCCAGGCAGCCAGGGAGATGTTTCCCATTCTAAAAAGAGCTAAGAGACACTGGCCCATTTCTTTCCTGTATGCAAAGATAGATCAGTACTAAGCATATGAAGCAGCATTTGTTCTCCAGAGATAAGGGGAACAAGGCACTCTAGACACAGCAATGTGACAGAACTGAACCCACTTCTCGCCACAGGGCATTCTGCCTCTGCAGGCACCAGGGTACTTCACCTGTACAGAGTTCTCTCTTGTGACAATACCGTTAAATCAAGAAACAGCATTCACAGAAGGAAGAAAACCTAGACAGAGAAATCAGACACACCTGTTGTGCTCAGCATCAGCTGCCCAAGCAGCCATGCACATCCATATGCACAGGAATGTTAATATATATAATGTTAATATATATAACATAATCCCACTATGGCTCCAGAAACCTCCCTCCTACTGCGGGCCTCCTCAGCACCTCAGCTAACCCCCAGGAGAGCAACGCCAACCAACATCAAACACTTTTCATGCCCTCTCAAACCATCACCGGGGAAAGGTGATGCTGCAAGGAAGTGAGTTCTATCCAATGCCACAGTGTGAAGTAAGCATTAACTTCTTAACAATCAAGTTCAACTCTGTAGGTCAAGCTTAAGCATGTGCATGCTTGCATCACGCTGCCAGGCTTTCATGCAGGCTCCCGCCTCTGCAGCACACCACCTCACTGCCATTGTAAGCCCCTGGGAAACAAACTAGCCCCTATCAACCAACTCAAACCACTGAATCCTTAAACACCTCAGGCACTGCTGTGCCTCCCATAGGCAGCAACAGATTCTCTCCATGCTGTCACTACCATGAGTGCTGGGCACAGGAAACTCCAGAAACTCAATGCTCAGGCCCATAGTTGGGCCAGGGTTTAGATCTGCTCACTCACACCGTTTAGGCATTTACCTGACATTTCCTCCAGCTTTCTGTATCCGCATACGCTCCTCATACTGGGTAGGGTTATGCTCCTTACTGAGGCTTAAGGCTGTATGCTTTTGACTGCCTTCATTGTAACGACACAGAATCGCCTGTGCTGACAAAAGACCTTTGTGAGCAAACAACAACAAAACTACAGAAGAAAGTCTTGAGAGAGAGAGCTGCAAATTGTAGTGAATGGGGCTACATTTACGTACTGTTAGATATTTAGCACCATCAAGAGAATGCTAGCACATTAGTTGTTTTATGGGAGACAACACAGTTGTCACCCTGCACTCAGCCAAAACAAGATGCTTTGTGGGAACATATAGGGAGCACCCAGGCAAAACAAGATGCTTTGCAAGAACATTTAGGGAGCTCACAGCAACTGGAGCATCCCACACACCTCACCCATCAGGGTGAATAAAGCTGTTGGAAGAATAAAGGCTCCAGCAGTAGGCTTCCTGTTCTGCTTACCCGGCTGTCCCCGAGGTTGGCTATGTAGAGAGTGTTGTCGACAGCTAGGACACAAGTAGCTGTGGAGCCATCCTTCCATGCTGGCTTCCTGAAGGGAACAAGAATGAAATTATTAAGGAGGGAAAACAATGTTTAAGAAATTAGTCACAGAGTGCTCCCAGGGTACTCAAGGAAGTTTTATGTGTATGCGTGTGTGTGTGTGTCTGCATGTTGTGAAGCGTTGTGTGCCAACATGCTACAGTCAGCTAGCACAAGCCCAAAGCAGCTGCCTCAAGCGGCTACGGAAACTGTTGATGGTGAATAGTGAGCTGGACAAGAACAGCAGAACTGCAGAGTACCACCTTCTAAATGCATGGCCAATGCCCAACTGGTTCAAATACTGCCAGCCATGCTCCCCACACCAGCCCTTCCTCATACTCGGCTCCCAGGAAAGTTCAGCTGTGGTTGGAACAGGCTCAGCCCCAATGGCTGCCCAGAAGCTACAGCACTGCAAGCAAACAAGTTCTCCAGACTCCTCAGAAGGCTCCTCATTTGCAGTAAAGGAAGGCACAGGCACAACTGCAGCAGGGTTGCCTTCCTTTTTGCTTTAATATCCCTTCCTTTTTCTCATAGTACCCCTGCACACCTGCCTCTGTCCTCATAATCCCACCTCAGCAGCAACACCACCCATTCAGTCACTCTCCTGATATTTCACTTGCTGTAGTTAAGCTTGTAAGTCTAGAGCTCCAAGTAAAATGAGAAGCCTTTCTTAGATTACAGATGCCAGACTAGTCCTCCCCACAATTAAGCCCAACTACGATGCCACTCTACTGAAACTAGCTTTGAAAGACTGATTTATAAACATATATAATCCAGTTTTCCTAACTTCGAAGGTGCATCTGAATGAAGAGCGTTTATTTAGTCAGCAATACAGCTATCACTAGAAATCCTTTGTAGTGCCTTTGTCATAAATCATATTTCTGACCAAATGGAGACTAGTTTGGGAATGACACTGTTGTGACAAACTCAAAGAAGCTCTTTTCCTTTTGCCTGGTCAAACTTATTTATCTTATAAAAGACTGAGCCAGTCTTCAGTATACTTAAAACTGAAAGTTTGCAAGGAATCTCAGAATTAGATGCATCACCAGGCTCTCAATCTGCATTAGAGGTGCACTGGGAGAGTGTGCGGGGAGGGAAACAAACAAACCCAAACATTTAAAGGACTGGTAGCAAAGTGACTGTGTTTTAAATGCAATCCACATCTCCCCTAGTTCACACAGTTCAGCAGAGAATGAGAAAAGGTAGCTTGCTCTCAAAACTCAGCTGGAAAGTGGGCTGGCATTTATCCCATTGAAAGTAGCTGCTGTGCTTTTCAGCTTTGTTTCAAAAGAAACAGCTTAAGATGAGGAACATTTTTCTTCAACATCTCCGTTTTCAAAAGATGCGAAGAAAGCAAGATTTCAGCTTACATTGGGAGAGTTAAGTCTTTCAACACACAGCATTAAAAACAACCTGAGAGATGTGCTCCAACCTGGCAAGCACACACTTGCTAACAGGAATGCGGCTCTAAAGAAAGCTGCACACAACAGCCAGCAAAGTACTGCTCTACAGATACCCTCTGCCACACTTCGAAGCCATCAACACAGAGATCCCATCTCAGGCAGTAGGGGATTAGCCACTTCACCAACATGGCAAGTCTTTAAAAAGAAGACAAACAAGATGCCCTGGTAAGGACAGAAGTGCACTCTTGGTCACATTTTGTCTCCTTCCTTTACTACAAAGGTGTATTTTGGTCTAAGGGGTCCTACAGACTGCTTTCCACAGAGTAAGACCAGAACATGCCACGATCTAGCTTTAGCAGGCACTCAGATGGCACAGTTGCAGCCTGGCACACCTATGTTTGGGGTTTTCCCAAAGCACAGACACAACTCAAAAGTTTCCTCTGCCCTGCTCAAAACTAAGGTCTGTGAGATGCACGCAAAGAAATACAAATGCATGGGAAGCATTTACACTTACTGGCTGGATGCCTGCTTTAGAAACTCTTCATCTGTGTGTTTGAAGGTATCCAAAAGGCATCTCTTCACAGTTTTCTCCACACTGGCTACCTCACCTGTCAGACAGGGAAAAGAGCAACTAAGTTCCAGCTAAAACATATCTGACCTATCCGAGTCTCTCCCTTCACCCACTCAATATGCAGTCAGCCAGTGCATCTCTCAGACCCTGTGCACAGCAGCTAAGGTACATCCTGGGTTCACACTACCAAAAATCTGTGCACTAGTATGTATGAAGAATTTAAGACACATCCCTCTCCCCCACAGGGATATTTTCATGCTTGAAGCAGCACTGCCAAAACTGGCAACAGTGCATCTCACACTTGTTTAGTGGTTCACAACTGGCTACTTGTACCCTTTTGCCTAAAAGGCTTCCAGCCCTCTTCCCCAGGAGACAGAGCAGTCTTGCAGTAACTCCCTGGGAATAAAGGATAGGAACTGTAGAATGACACCCAAATAAACCAATTTCCCTATCCACTGCAAGGCAGAAAAGATGATGGTTGTCCTACAGCCCTAATTCCAATTCTCTCACCTTTAGGAAATTTCTTAATCAGGTTCTGGTGCATGTTCTGTGCTGCAAATTTTGAGGCTCGGACTCCCCCATGGCCATCAAACACAGCAAAGTATGAGACACGTGTGCTGTGAGGGAACAAAGTGTAGCAGAAAGGGGCTAAGAGAGACAGTTAGGCAGACAGTGGGATCGAGCACATTCATCTCCATAATGCCCTGTCCCGTGTTAGCCAGACTGAGTAAATACTGTTCTCCAAGGCACAAAGGTAGCAAGTCTGTAAACTCACACATTCAAGCATATGCCTCACCTCAAGGCCACTACAACTCCCCAGCACTACACAGACATCAGCCTAAGCAATCCTACAGTTCTTTCCATGCCTAAAATTGTTGAAACCATTCTACAGACAAGAAACTCGGATCCCTCTGAACATTAAGCTCTCAGGACAATTACTAGTTCAGAAGCTAGATCCCATATCAGGATGGTCTTTGAAAGCATTCCTTTAAACACACACACTCCCCCTTACACACACTTGTACGTGTTTTTTTGCTGAAGGATTTCAGCTTTTCAAGTAAAAGAGTTTCTCTTCTTTAAGCATTCTCCAGTGCCACAGTTAAATGGCACACTTAACTGTGAAACACACTGTAAAATCCCTAACATAAGGCCTCATTACTTATAATTAAATTGAGGGTCTCTAAACACCCATGACGACACTTGGCTAACATTAGGCTCAATATCCAGAGTTACTGGGCCCTCACAACCCTTGTGAATTCAGTGACCAAATCCACTGAGCATCACTCAAAGGGAGGTATTTGCATACAGTAGTCCCGTGATTTGCACAGAGCACAGCTATCCAGGTCTCCCAGCAACAAGCCCAAACTATACAACACGACACAGGTGTAGTCAAGAGCATGAGCTGCTTAAAGCAAAAAGGATCCTATCATGGGCTTAGCTGAAGCAAGCTGGAGCTCCTTCACCCTTGTGATGGCTGCCATCCACAGCTTTATTCTGACAGTTGTGGCACACTTACATTTGGGAGGGCAGAGGCTGGCATTCCTCAGTGATATCATTTAAGATGACATGTGCATCCTGCATGTCTTCTCTTTCACCTTTCCTCTCTGCCACATAACCCTTCAATCCAAGAATGCCCACTGACCCTAAAGGGGAAGAAAGCACACACATGCAGGCAAATCAAACTCCACCATCTTCTCAACTCAGGCTAAAAAAAAAACAGCAATCTGTGATCACTTTTCAGCCTTCAGAACCCTATTCTGACATTTGTAACATGGGATTTTAAGTGACCCCAAGGTGAGCAGCTATAAAAGCTGCTTGCCCCCATTCCGGCAGGCAGCTATAACCAAGCAGGACTGCTGGGCATCAGACAGGGCTCTTACTAAATGGTGTGGGGAGAGCAGGGGAAGTGTGCGACTGAACCTGCAGATTAACAAAGCACGGCATGACAGGCAGGCACCTGCACTGAAGTCAAATGCCCTATGTATAACAGCAAGTCTCTTTTTTAGCAGCCACCCAGTGGAGAGATTTGTGGATGTGGCAAAAGAAACTGGTGTGGCTCTAGCCTTCCAGAAGTTTCACAACCAGTACCCCGTTTGGCAGTACGGTAACTTATCCTGCAAAGGCTGAGCTGCTTGCTGCTCAGCTTTTGCCACTTCAGCAGGGCTGGTAAAAAGACCTGGGTGAGGGAGGCAGAGTGCCAGGGAGCAAGAAGGGTTTCCACAGACTGCTCCAGCAGTCTGTTCCCTACAAGAGGCTGAAAACACAAGCAGACTGAAGAACCTTAGCTTTGGTCTGGACTTACTAAGCCCAATGTCAAAAGTACAAATTAAGTACATTTGTTTTCAAACTGTCTGAAAACCTTTACAAACTTTCTTTTCCACAAGTTCTTCCCTGCCATTCTTTTCTTCCTCCTCCAAGGACTTTCTCTTCTCCCCTTTCCCGTGGCTCCCTGCTGACGAGACCTGCTCAGTAGCACTGGAAGCTGAAAGAAAGCAAAAATGCAGATGATTGAAATCTGCCAGCTCTGTTTTACTTGCATGAATTCAGCAGCAACTCCTTTTTATACCGAAGCACTCCCAGGGGTGCAGGCTGGCACTCTCACACAGCATTAAGTGACCAGAGTTAGCACTGAACAAGACATATTAACTGCCCACAAATGCACACACCCAACTTCACTCAGCATGTACAACCCACAGCACATATTGATGACTTGATCACTTTACATTACATGGCCTACCTCAGGCACAGCACAGCTGTGCTCAGCTAGGAAGCTGCTGATTCTCCCCACCAACCCACATTTTGTTTCTTAGCTACCAGCCTTTTTTGCAATTAACTGCTAAGGAAGTTAAACCATGTCCTGGGCTGCATCAGAAGGATCGTGGCTAGCACGTTGAAGGAGAGGATTCTCTCCCTCTACTCTGGTGAAAACCCCCTGCAGTCCTGCATCCAGCTCTAGGACCCCAACACAAGATGGATGTGGAGCTGCTTGAGCAAGTCCAGACGAGGTCACAAAGATGCTCTGAGGGCTGGAGCACCTCTGCTATGGAGACAGGCTGAGAGAGCTGGGCTTGTTCAGCCTGGAGAAGAGAATGCTCAACAAAGACCTTAGAGCAGCTTCCAGCGCCTAGAGGCCAATAAGAAATCTAGAGAGGGACTTTTTACAAGGGCCTGCAGTGACAGGACAAGGGGGAATGGCTCTGAGCTGAGAGAGGGGAGATTTAGATTAGATACTGAAAAAAATTCTTCCCTGGGAGGGTGTTGAGGCCCTGGCACAGGTTGCCCAGAGAAGCCCTAATGCCCTGGCAGTGTTCAAGGCCAGGCTGGACGGGGCTTGGAGCTACCTGGTCTAGTGGAAGGTGTCCCTGCCCGTGGTCAGGGGTTGGAACTGGATGAGCTTTAAGGTCCCTTCCAACCCAAACCATTCTGTGATTATCAAAATAATAAATTAAAAAAAACAACAACAACAACAAAAAAAACAACACAGGAGGAGAGTAGCTGCTCTGCACACATGTGCCGATCTGATAAACCCACTGGTTTTATCCTGTCTATCAAAGAAAAGGGATTGCACTAGTTTCATCTCAAAATGATGCTGATGCAGAAAGCATGCAAAGCCAAAATAATAGAAGAAATAGGAAATAGAGCACCCATACCTGAGTCAGCACTGCTGGCTGGTGGGAGATCATCAAAGAGGAGAGGTCCTTTCTGGGCTTCCTTCCCTGTAAGGCACCAGGACAAAGTAAGGATCCACTGCATGCACTCAAGGGGTGGTTTCTGGAAGGACTGCCCTCCAGCTGAGCACAGGTGGGGTGACAGAGGAGAGCCTTGGCTACCTTTTGTCCATCTCTACTTTAGGCAGCTCCTACATGTGCAGGACAACCACTTGCTAGGGGATGATGTGAACTTTTATCTTGAGAACAACTTGTTTGTTTGGTTTCTAGCAATCCACACAACCTGTATTACCACCCCTCACCAGCCAAATTGAGATATTATAGCATGGGAGGGGCCAAAAAAGCACCAACTTATTTCAGGTAACATTACAGCTCTCCACAGTCCCACGACCCGCAGCACCGCAGTGAGGGGAAAAGCTCCAGCATGGCCTAAATCTTACGGATAACACCCTGCATCCGAACGAGCCCCAGGGAAAGAGAACAGCACAGAAACCCCACCAAAACGAACCCAAACCGAGTCATCCCCTCCTGCAGCCGCCTCTTCACCCGCCCCGCTCCCTTCTCCCCCACCCCTCAAGCGCTGGGAGTCCTCAGCTATCACCGCCCCGGTGCTCGCGCTGCAGGTGCGGCCCGGAGCCGACACTTCGCCCGCAGAGGCTCGCTGAACACAGAGCGCTGCAGCAGGCCCGGCGGGGCCGCGCGGCCATGCCGTGCCGTGTCGTGCCAGGGCGAGTCCCGGCCCCGCGGCCCGGCGCGGACAGGGCAGGACGGGAACTGGGCGCCCGTCGCGGGGCAGCGCCCGCTCACCCGCCGCCGAGCAGCCGGGTTCCGGGAGGTCCCCAAACAGATCCATCGCGCGGGCAGCGCCGCCGCCAAGGCCGCTTCCCCGTGCCCAGGCGCCGTCCCGCCTCTTCGGGCTGACAATCTCCTCTCGCAGCCAATCAGCGACCGCAGATAGACCGGAAGTAGGCCCTCGACGGGGCGGGAGCGGAAGGCCGCCATTGGCTCCGCCCCCCAAAGGCCTCTGTCAATCCCCGCAGAGGGAGGTGCTGCTCCCGTCAAACACCCCCCGGGCTGCCGCTGCTCCGCCAATTGGAAAGCGGGACCTCTGTGCCAATCAATCCCGTTGCACCCTCCCTTTCTTTTCCAGGTTGACCAATCCCGCGGCGGGGATGTCACGCCCTCCTGTGCCTAACCAATCGCTGGAGGGGGCAGGAAGGGAGCGCGGTACCCCCCTAAGCTGCAGAGGAGGGCTGTATCCGGTATCCGCGTTTACGGGTGCCCGTACCCGGTGTGCCCGTACCCGGTGTGCCCCTACCCGGTGTGCCCCTACTCGATGTGCCCGTACTCGGTGTGCCCGTACCCGGTGTGCCCGTACCCGGTGTGCCCGTACTCGGTGTGCCCGTACTCGGTGTGTCCGTACTCGGTGTGTCCGTACCCGGTGTGTCCGTACTCGATGCGCTCCTCAGCCCCCTCGCCCGCAGTCCCGGACCGGTGTGGGCCTCCCCGCCGCCGAGCAGAAGGCGCCCGCCCTACCCACCGTGGCCAGGAAGGAGAGCGGAGCGGCGCGGGGCTGTTCTGCGTTAAATGCCACATTTATTTCAGAACCGAACAAGCCTCACGCGTGCACGGACGGCCGGGACCCGAGGCTCCAGCCCCGAGCACGGAGAGGGAGGGCCGGGACAAGAGGGTACAGGGGGCAGACGCCCCTCAGGAGGTCCCGCCCCGCCCGCTGGTGCTCGCCCACCCTCCATGCCACTGTCCCCTGTGAGATTTCCCTTCGGATGGGGCTCACAGTCGTGCCTATACATCAAGGTTTGCGTTCCTCATCCCGGGGGGGGCTGCGGTGAAGGAGGGGATGGGAGGTATAACGGGGAGAGTGCGTTGTGCTGGCGAGAGCGGGGCCAGGAAGATGGCAAAAGTAGCCTGCAAAGCCGGGGACATCCCGCAGGGATGCTGCCAGCCGGGTCTCCCTCAGCGCCGTGTCCCTCAGCCGAGCTGTCTGCTCTGCAGGTTTGCTGGCCTCAGGCAAAGCTTCGGCTTCAGCTCCGGCTGGAGGATGTGCCCGCCCCGCAGCCGCCCTTCGCCTGCAGCACGGGCAGCGCTGCCCAGCCCTGGCTGAGGAACCTGTGTCTGGTCGCTGGCAGACGCAGATTCCTGTCTCCACCAGAAGCTGCCTCCGCCCTGGTAGAGCCTCCCCTCTCCCCTGGGGCACCCAGTGTTCCCTAGCCCCTTACGCTGAAATATGGCATGGCACCAACTAGTCTTTGCTGGGACGTCACAGCCCAGAACCCTCCTCCACCCCAGCCGCAGCTCTGCCCCTCCATGACCCCCGAGTGAGAACCTATCCCTCTATAAAGGGCACAAGTTGGCTTCTAGATCACGGGACGGGGAATAACCCAGTTTGATGGGGCGGACAATTTGCCACCTGCCTGGGATGCAGGGGTGGGAAAAGCAGCCCTGCCACAGCTCCAGGCCAGAGCAATGGGATGAGATGCCCAAGGAGCTGCAGCAAGGCTGGGCAAAACCTGCAGGGGCTCAGGATCCCAAAACCCTTTTCCATCACCTGAAACTCAAACTGAAAGGCCTCTGATGTGCAGCGAGGGGGTCCCTGCAAGCCTCTGCCCATCTGCCATGTCCCTTCCTGTCCGTGCCCCCCAACAACATGAGCGTAACAAGAAGACAGCACCAAGTCCCACACACACACACGCGCACACACACACACAGACAGTGCAGGGAGGTGTGGCAGAGCCAAGGCGCAGCCGTGCTGTGCAAGGAAAGGTAAGCCACCGAGGCGTGACAGCGAAGCTAGGGGGGTGCCCGGGGGATACATGAAGGAAGATGCTCGCCTTCCCGACGGAAGCTGTGCTGGATCCAGCTGACCGCTTGGGAAGCCCCAGCTGAAAGCATCCTACCCCCCTCACAATGGATGAGAGATGGAAGATGGAGGAGAGGGAGAGCTGCTGCTGGGGAAGGTGGAAGCAAGTTATGGCTGGAGGAGAAGGTCCTTTCGGCAAAGCCACCTCTGCCGTGGGAAGCCCCCTGGATTAACGTGCCGATGAAGGCAGGGTGGGAAGGAGGTGAGCACTCGCTTCTGCAGCAGGGAAAGAGGAGTGAGAAAACACCAAATACAACAGTAAAAAGAAGCCCCATCCCCACCTCAACACCCCCACCCCAGCCTCTCCCTGCCCCTCTGACTTGCTTTGAGCGTGTTGTCCTGCTGGGAGGAGAAGGGATGTGACAGCCCTCTTGGGCAAGGCTAAAGAGGGTCCTGTGGATTGGAATAGCCATTTCTAGCCTCAGCTCTTGGGGAACTTTTCCATCCAGTGTTGGAAGCAGCCACCTGCACCTCCACACTCCCTGCAGGGATGGGACCCTTGGTGTCCTGTCCTAAGAGGGGAGGAATCCCTTTGGACAAGCCCCCAGGGGCTCCTAGGCTGAGACAATGGAGGTGGCCCACATGCTTTTGGGCAGGACAGCTCACACAGGCAGAGCCATCCCCAGAACCCTCCTTTTCCCTCCAGCAGGACCAAGCTCCAAAGTGAGGTGACGTGTCCACATGGATGTGGAATTCTCCAGCCCACCAAGATGGTGGGCTCCTCCTTTCCAGAGGTAGATGGGGCAGGTAGGAATTGCCTCCTTTGGGAAGACATGGTAGGCTGTCCAGCCACCACTTAGGGGAGAAGTAGTTTAAGCTGCAGTGGGGTGCAAAGCAGAGGGTTGGGGAAGGGCAGGAAGCGAGGGCAAGAGCTCTGCTGCTGCCGGGCACATGCCAGGGATGTCCCAGGAGAGGCATCTCTGGGGCCCCAGCCCACTGCCAAGGCTCTCCCTTGCCTGGGGGAGGCATTGTCCAGGGGCCAGGACCCATCTTACAGGATTTTTGTGATGTAAATAAATACTTTATAAATATCATCTTAAACTACTGACACCTGATCTTACTCTGCTGTCTCTTGCAGAAACATCAATAAACTAGGAAATCCTCGTACTTACACTACCCCTTTCCCTTCATGTGGAGGCAATTCCTCCTGCTCTCCCACCTCCAAGCTTTACCACACTCCCACCCCTGTAGATCAAAGACCAGCTATTAGCCAAAACTGCCCTCCTCGCTCCCTCCCCTCTGACAGGGACCTTTCTGGAGCATTACAGATGGTGTGACATGAAGGTCACCCATGAGGGAATGGGCAGAAGATGGCACGTGCACAAGAGATCCTGCCCAGGCAGGTCGAGGCTTTTGCAGCTACGAACGGAAGTGAGTTTCCTCCGCGAAGGTGTGAATCGAGACAGATCCTTCCATGGAGCAGGCAGCTGGGGCAGCAGATGGTGTGAGAGATCAGACGTTAACATGGGGAGTCTTGAGACAGAATCAGCTATCTTGATCCTGTTGGCAGACGGATGAGGTGAAGGGTATTTTTCAGGTTAGATTCTCATCTGGGCTGTTCTCCTTCTGGAAAGCTTGGACCTGGTTTGGAAAACAAGGGAAAAAAGGTGTCAAGAGATGTGAACAAGGAGAGGTGTGGTCCCCCTGTGTTTGGTGTCCTGGCTCCAGGCTGGTACCTGAATCCAGCCAGAGCTGGAGGGACATGGCATTAATGTCTTTTTAGCCAGAGCACACAAATTTCTGTGCATTTACTCCTGTTCCCTTAGTCTTGCCACTTGAGATTGTCTCAAGAGCGAAGGGCCAGTCTCCCTGCCGCCAGCAATGAATGTCGCTTTGAACTCAGCACAACAATGCCTCTGTACCAGCCAGTATCTGTCCCTAGATTGAAGAATTTAAGCCAGAAGGAGCTGAAATAAAGATTATCATGGCCCAGTTCTGCCAACTGAGAGCACCTCTAGACACAGCTCTGTGCAGCAGGTGCTCCCCACGTCTGGCTGGAGGGGTCTGCACCAGGGAGAGCACTGGGTCCAAGACAGGGAGCACACTTGGCTGCTCACAGACCACCCACCAGCAACTTCTCTGCACCACCCTTCACCCAGCTGCCCCTGGTACCTTATGGACCCAGCCAGGAGGGGATTGAAGGCGTAGAGCCAGTCGTGCATGTCCTTGTCACTGCTCGCCTGCAGCAGGATGCCACGATGCTCTGTGCACACTGCAAACGTGTTCGGGGTCTGCCAGGAGAGAGCCATGGATGAGTCTCCTGCCTCAGTGGGTGCATGGAATGGGGCTGGCTCCTGGGGCCCTACCTTGAGCATGGCCTGCTGGTCCTCACTGTACTCCACCTGGGCCTTGGAGAGATTGAGTATGGCCCTCTCGACCATGTCTTTGTCTGAGTTGTAGATGTAGACATATGGGCGCCGGACCACCACGAAGCGCTTCACCCACCCATTGGTGTGAGGCTCCAGGAAGTGCAAGTAGCCCTTTTTGGAGACGATGGGGCTGCAGAAGGGACCGAGGTCAGGGTGGGGCATGGACCAGAAGGAGGTGGCGATGGTAAGGCATGGTCCCCCCTCAACCCCGAGGTGTTCCCTTTCCTGGCTGCCCCAGTTGCTCCTACCTGACCCGGATCTCCTGGATGTCAGGCACCAGCAAACGCTGGGGCTCCTTCTCCTCCTCAGGCCGGTGGCCTGGGGACTTCTTCTGCTCTCCTTCTACTGCGGGCTCCAGGTCAGGGCTCTCTGCTCTGGAAGAGACTTGGGGGGGTCTGGGGAGGGAGGAAAGGCTAGGATGTAGGAAGAGTGACAGCTAGGGAACACCCTTTGACCAGGATCATATCCCAGTGGTACAGCTGACCTGCTTGAGGGATGGTGGGACATCACCCAAACCTCCTGGCCACCTTCTTACCTGACGTCGATGGCATTGTAGCGTCCTTCCACCAGTGATGGGCAGGTTGAAGAGGGGGTAAGAGTGGTGACCCCAAGAACTGGCATGGATGGGTCTCTCATCAGGGTCACAGACATTTCAGACAGCTGTGGAGGAGTGGAGGTGTGGACTTGAGTTTCTGCCTGAAGCTGGGCACAGGCAAAGGACCAGGTGCCTACTCATACAGGGAGAGGCAAGACCTCTGGCCAGCAGGGCTCTCCCCCGGCACAGTCCCAAGAGCCACCAGCTCCAGGAACCCCAGGGCAGGTGAAGGGAGCAGGGACCCCAGAGCAGGGACCACTCGCACCAAAGTGCCCACCTGGCCCTTGCCCAGCCAGCTCCTCTTAGCCGCACATCCCTCCCAGCCCCCAGCAGCCCGGTGAGCCCAGGACACTGGCAGTACCTTGCTCTCACTGGCGCTAATGCAGACATGGCTGTGGCTGTACTCCCTGTTGAAGGTATGTGTGAGCAGGCGCAAGCACTGTGGAGAAAGGAGGAAGATGGTAGGATAGGAGGCACCTTTTTCCACCCTTCTCCTCCTGCTCCTCTTGGGTTTTCTCCTGCCGCAGTCCCCTTGCACCCTATGGGAGCCCCTTCCCAGCTTCACCCCTGTGAGCTGGGAATGCTGCAGAATGGTACCTTCACAGCCAGTTCCTTCTGCCTCTCGCTGGGGCTCTCAGGAGGTGAGGTGCGGTTCTCAGCAGCCCCATCGACAGAGAGCGGGGAGGAGACGCAGGAGGTGCTTCGGGACTCAGAGTCCTCACTGGAGCAAGTGGACAGGGTCTCCAGGCCCAAGCGCTGGGTTGTCTCCAGCTTCTCACGCAGGAGCAGGTAGTGCCTCGTCTTCTCCACCTGGGCAGATACATCACAGCTCAGAGGTGGCCGCTTCCCCTTACTGACATCCTTCTGGGGACCATGCGTCCCATGCCCCATTACCCTGTTTCTAGCCCACGCTCTTACTTCTTGCAGGAGGCTGAGTTTCTCCAGCTCCCATTGATGGTCAAGGATGAGGCTGTCACTGCGGGGCCGCCAGCCAGCCAGGTTCTCCTCTCCCCGCACATAGGCTACAGAGGTGTCTAGCACACGCCGGCGACGTCTCTGCATGCCTGTGGGGACAGACACATACTAGGGGGAACAGATGCACAGACCCAACCCCAACCACCATGCTGTGCCTGCCAGCCTTGTGGTGACCACCCAGGCAGAGACATGGCACCCACCTGGGCTGCCGGCATCTGCCACTCGGCAGAGGCTGAGCTCGTAGACTCCGGTCACACGGTTGCTGTGGTCAAAGGGAGATGAGGCATTACCAACTCTATCCCATCCGCATGCCCCCGTCATTTCACCCAGGCTGCTGGAATGCCCCAGAAAGGCCCCAGTCCTGGGTGATGGCTCTCCTCTCCCAGAAAGGCAGGAGCTTCTCAGTACCTCTCAGAAGCCCGTAGGCTGCCACTGCCAAAAAGGTTGCGGATGGAGCGGGAGGCAGGAAGCTTGGCATCCCGGGAGTAGAAAACCATGCAGAAGTCTTTGGTGATGACGGCAGGCTGAGTGCAGTTCTCCATCTGCAGCAGAGCAGGGGGAAAACGTGTCATGGTGGGGGATGGGGACTGTCTCTTGGCAACCCATCAGGTCTCTCCCACCCCTGGTGCCCAGTGGTTTCCATTCCTGTGGTCCCACCGGGAACCCCAAGCACTAGGTTGCACCCTGTCAGCATTGGTGCAGGGTAAAGGAGGGGTTTACACTGGCTGGATCCCAGCAGTAGGGGAAATACCAGACTTTGTTAGCACTACAACAAAGGTCCTTGCCTCAATGTAGGCAGACAGGGTGATGTAGATTTTCTCCCTGTACGGGGTGACACGGTTGAGCAGCAGCGAGTTGTGCATGGAGCTATCCCATGCTGCCTCAAACTGGTAGAAAGTCCTGCAACAAAAATAAAATAGCAGAACTGGTAAAAAAATGTCCCCAGAATGCTAGGCAAGCGAGCAAGGAGATGCTTTTGTCCCCCGCTGCAGCAAGGCCTGCAAGGACACATGGACATGCACACACCACAGGGACAGATGGGGACAGCCACTCCAGAGGACACAGGCTCAAGGCAAAGGGGGACAAGTTGTGGCAGGAAGGGGATGTGGCACCCTTGACATGGCCAGGAGGCCGGGGTTCTGGGGAGGAGGGACTGTGGGAGGAGTGGGGGCTCAGCTGGGGTGCAGGCAAGGCAGGGCAGGCTGGGAAGGCAAAGGAGGGCAAAGAAGGGTGCATGCCCCACCGCCATGCTCAGAGTGGGGTCTGCCACACCAGCACACCCAGGCAAGGTCCCCACTATCCAGCCCACGGCACACAGCACCTCCCAGCCCCTGCCAGGAGCAGCTGTCACCATTCAGGTGGCCAGAAGGGAGAGGAGGGAGGATGCTCAGCCCTGGGGAGTCCGATACCAGCCAAGTTCCCTTCCCCAGGGCTGCCCCACCTGCCAGCCCTGAGCCCCACCAAGACCCAGGGACCACAGTTTTTTAGTTGGCCCCTGCTGGGCTGTCTCCCTCAGCTCTTGCTCTCCCCTCATCACCAGCCCCATTCCCACCAGGCTGCCTCACTCTCCTCGCTTGGTTTTCCATAATTCCCAGGTTGGGGGAAGGAGCAGGGGACACCTAGCCCCACTTGCTCAGTGCCTATGGGGTCCCATAGAGGATGGCAAAGCCACCTAGAGCAAGAGTGGCTGCCAGCCTCTTCAGGTCAAGCAGTCAAGAGTGGGGGAAGCAGGAGGCATGGGGGATCCCTGTTTCACCTCCTGCCCTGCTCCTGAGCTGCCATCTGGGCCAGCCTTGGGTTATGGGACACCCACTCCCCAAAGCCACCTGTCACTGCTGCAGCCCTGGCTCCTGCCTCAGCATCGTCAGAAAGCAGCAATGTCTCAATGAGGATGCTTCAGCACGTCCCTGAACAGCACCCAGGTGGCTGAGGGGCTTTTTGAACATGAACCAGGGCAGCCAGAGGGAGCAGGGAGAGGCTCTCAGCTGCAATTGCCCCCGTGTAGGAAGAAGAGGGAGAGCGACGCTTTCAGAAGGTGCATAAAATACATTAAAAAAAACCCACATGAGACAGAGCCAAGGCGAAGGATCACTTTTCAGACACAGGTCACTTGAGAAGGCAGTGCTCCCCAGGGAGGAGGAAAATAGGAGCCTCAGGGGAGGGGGGGGGGAAGAGCAAAAAGCAAAGGGAGGCAAAGGAGAAAGAGAGAAAAGCAGGTGGGACCAGACCGAGCAGGTGCACGCAAAATACCTAGTGTCATTTCCGAACGAAATGCTATAAGTGGAAGGCGACCCAAGGACAAACACACACACATACACACACAGAAAAACAAAAGGTCAGAAAGCATCGTCTGTACAGGGTTGGCGTTGGAGCAGGACCACAACCATGGAGAGCCCCTCTAGAGGGGACTCACCCTATGTCAGCTCTGCTGGCCAAAGTAGCTCCTGCCCAGCCGAATGCTGAATCATAGCCGAGAAGGAGCTTGGCAAGGTCAGAGGTTTACCTGCATGGGTGAAAACCCTCTGCCACCCACCTTCCTTGCAGTCTGGCAGCTGGGAAGCAGCACATGTGCTCCACATCCCCTTAACCCTGCCCTCGCTGCCATTCCAGGGCAAGGAGCTGCTGCCCAGCGCAGCCCCTCAGAAAGGTGACCCTCATGGTACCCACACAGCAGGAGATTTCTTGGCCCATCCCTGGTCCACAGGGAAAGCATCACTGTACCGACAGCCCACAGGCAATGCCAATATGACCCCACATCTCCTGAAGTAGAGGGGTTGTATCCATGCTGGATCCATCCTCCTGCATCCTGGGATACTGGAGGGACAGATCTGCCCCCAGGCATCTCCAAGCAGGACCAGCTTCTAGCTGATGAAGGAAGGACAACTTCCCAGCTACAAAGTTATGGAGCCCACCAGGACTCAGGAGACCCCAACCCCTGTCTCCCAGACGCATCTTCATCTCTTTATCTACCACAGGACTCCCTCCTCTGGGGCCTTGGTGATGCTTCCATCCAGAGGCTGGCAGCAGCATCTGGATCTGTTGGCTCTTGCCCATACACCACATACCCATACACCCATACACCAGGCTCACACTGCAGTCCCAGCTGAAGCCCCCACCTTCCTCAGAAGCCGATCCCCACCATTACACAGGGGTACAACAGTCTATGCCACATTACGGTGTGTGTGTACCCACCATTGCACCTACGTACAAACACACCACCACCCATATGCCACATCTGCACCCACAAGTCTACTGTGCACCCAGCGGTCATCACCAGGTGTCCAGGGAAGGACTGGAGGTGGCCTGAAGCTCCCACCATGGTCTACACCAGCCCTGCAGCTACTCCGAGTGGTGCTGGGGGCTGAACCTGGGTGGGAGGCAACGGGGGAGCGGCACACTTAGCACCCGATGCCAAAGAGATGAGAGAGCAGTGAAGTCAAAAAGAAAGAAATAAACCAAAACCCAAATCAGGCGATGGGGACGCAGGCGTGCGAGGGGAGCAGCAGCCAGCGAGAGCGCGGCCCAAACAAACAGCAAAAGAGGCTGGTGAGCAAGAGGTGCCAGGATGGGAGGGAGAAAGGATGGGGCATGTAGAGGGATGTGGGGCTGGATGTCCAAGTGCTGCCTCCGGCCGGAGTGAGTGCACCAAGGTGAGGGGAGAGAAAGAAAGAAGGGAGGGTGGAAAAAAAATCAATGGAAACAAATAATACCTAGGCATATCCGAATCAAGAAACTGCCTGTGAAAACACAAAACAATCACATGGTTAGTGTGGGCTCTGATGGGCAGCAGCAGCAGAGAGAAGCAAGGGGGGACCCTGGGGGCTGCCCCCCACAACTCCTCCCTGGGCGCTCGATGCAGGGATGGATGGGTATTGGGGAGTGAGCCATATTGCTCCCTGGTCTCCTGAGTAGCTCCAGGGAACCGGAAAGGCTGGGATGGGGAGGGGAGCTAGGGCTGCTCTGGGCAAAGGAGGCTGCACGGCATAAGGCAGCAAAGCAGGGAGCACAAGCAGCCGGGAAGGAAGGTGAAGCGGGCCCTGGCTCTGCCTGCTGTCCTCTCTTTGCCTGTCCTAGCAGGCTGGTGGGGCTAAGGCATGCACGCCTGCATGCAGGATGGAAGCGGGGAGGGCCCCTCAGCATCCCGCAGGAAGCCGGCTGCCCACTCCTCCCCCTGCCTGGCCCTAGACAGGCTCACAGGACGGATAATACATGGCATGCATACTGGTCTGCAGCCCAACTGGGGCTGGCCCTGAGGCACAGACCCACTGACAGCACAGGTGAGGCAGGCCCTTGCAAATCCTGGGATCAACGGGCCAGGTCAGGAGCTGACATAAAACAGGGCAGCCCCAGGAGCCCACAGGTGCCACAGCCACCAAGCTCCCAGCAGCCCAGAAACCACTGCAGCTTTGCCTGGCCAGGCCCTCCTTGCCCAACAGTCCCCACCCGGCCTTACTGTTGTCCCCATGGCTTTGCCAAAGTCTCTTGGTCCACTGCTTCCACGCATATCTGACCCCATGGTGTGGCTCTGCTGCCCAAGCACTGCATGCCTGTCACCCATCATGTCCAGAAGCAGCTCTGGGATCACTGCATGGTGGCACCTCCCGCCCAGACCCCTATCATCCCAGCCCAAAAACACCCTGCCTTGGGACACGTCATCTTGATGCAGCAGTGACTCCAAAGAAAAAAGGAGAAAAGTGCTTCCCACTCCCCAGCAGGATGCTCCTACACTGGAAACCGCCATATGCACAGCCCAGGACTGGTCCCTGCTGCTCCCGGTGATGCCAATGACCAACCTTGTCTTGTCACAGCTACCTGCACACACGCATTCTGGCCAGGGACCCCTGCCAGCCTCCTGAGTTTTGCCAGCAGCCCTGGTTCAGAGGAGAGTTTTGCTCTCTGCACCCACTGGTTCCTCACACCACCACAGGACCCAGCCAGAGAGGTCTTTAGAGATAAAACCCCTCTGGCCCTGCTGCTCCCACAGCCCTGCCAAACCCACAGTGGGAACACAGTCCCCCAGGACAGGCATCGCCAAGGTCACCCACTGGCATCCCCCGGTGCCCGTGAGGGATGGCTTTCCTGCATCACTCCCGCACAGACAGGGACCTGCCATGGGCACCAAGTGGCCTTTCCTGTGAGTTTGCTGGGACATGGGACAAATAACCCTTCATGGCAGGTCCTCTCCAGCCACGGAGTTGATACATCCTCCTGGCAGCAGTACCAACCGGCTCTATGTGCCAGGCAGTTACAGCCACCAACAGAGAGCAGCATCACCACCCAAATTCCCTTTCATGCCAAAACCTAGTGCAGGGAGGCCTTGGGGAGAAGGAGGGAGGAGTCTGGCAACCCTGAACCCCAAGACCCTCTGCAGCTCCAGAAAAGTACCTCCCAAGGCAGCAACAGGTCAGCAGGACCCTCCAGAGGGACTGAGAGGCTCCCCATGTCTCCCCTTCCAGCCCTCACCACAGTGCAGGAAGAACAAGAGAAGCAGCAGCACTCACCGGTCATCCTGGGAGGGGTGGATGTACCCAGAGGAGAGGATGTTCAGGGACAGGATGTTGGGGTCGATGAGAGACTCATCTGCTTCTGGGGTGTTCCGGATCCGACCTGCAAGTGTAACACAGGGATAGAATCATAGAATAGTTAGGGTTGGAAAGGACCTTAAGATCATCTAGTTCCAATCCCTCTGCCATGGGCAGGGACACCTCACACTAAACCGTGTCACCCAAGACTCTGTCCAACCTGGCCTTGAACACAGCCAGGGATGGAGCATTCACAACCTCCATCAGCAACCCATTCCAGTGCCTCACCACCCTTACAGGATGCCTCTCAGGTTACAGGAAGTGGGCAGCTCACCTGTCTGCATCGCCCCAGTAACCCCCCCATTACAGACAGCAGCCTCCCAGTTCTTGTCCACTTGGTGCCAGAAGCCCTAATACAGCTCTTGCATGTGATACCCAGGACCAAGGCATCCTGCCCACACTGTCCCAGTGTCACCTTCTGGTAGCTTTGCTACTGTGGGGCAGGAGAGGAGACAAGGCAGGTGCAAAAGCTCCACATAGGAACACAGGTGAGAAACAGACCAAGAGGATGCTTGGGAGCTCGGTGGGGTGGGGGTTGCTCACAGCCTATCCAACCTAGCTTGGCTTACCTACAACCAGCTCCCGCACTTCCTTCCAGCGGATGAGGCTGCCTGTTTCATGCACCAAGGTGACAGTGATCCTCCTCTGGATGCCCTGAGACCCGCAAGACCAGAGAGAATGGATAGGGGTTAACAAAGCTCCTAGCAGGAGTTAGACCCAGAACAGCATCTCAGGGATGGAGTACCTGGTGGAGGAGGAAGGTTCCATGGCATGGCATGCCTCCACGGTGGTCCACAACAGCAGGGATGTAGCTGGAAGAGAGGATCATGGCATGACACAGAACCCCATCAGCCTGTGCAGAGGTGTCAAGCACTGACCAAATTACTGTGCCACCTCCCTCTCCTTCCCACTCCCCTTTCCAGCAGGACTTACTCGCCATTGGCTTCCAGCTCACAGATCTCAAAGAAGACCATCAGGTCATACTTGCACTGGCATGGGCCAGGGCTGGGCCGAGTCATGGTGCTCAGTTTCGTTGCAGGCACTATGGCAAGTTGGAAAGACAGCTTAAAGGGTGATCTTGCTGCTGGCATCTGGAGTGTCTGATGGCAAGCAGGATACAGGCAGAGCAGGCAGGGGCCACAGGAAGACACATGGAGGTGGCAGCAAGGAAGGAGGGAGTGCATAGAGGGGAACAGCCCCATCTCAGGGACCTTGCTGACCCCTTGCTGAGCCATCCAGGGTGGGTAGCCTCCTCCTTGAGATTCCACAGGAGGTGGGAAGGGGGATTTGTATCATCTGGGTAATGCAGGAATGGGAGCAGGCCTTTAGGGTGTCCCTGGTGGTAGTACGTTTTGGTCCACAGTACGTTTTGTGGTGCCCTGGGGTTCTAACTGGTTCCCTTAGGGAAGGGGACACTGTACCTAGCACAGGGACTATGGGTGGGCAGAGAAGCAGGAGGCCAAATCCCCTACCTGGTTTGGAGAGTGGCATCACACGGGGCAAGTGGCGCCGGGATGGCCTCAGTGGGCTGGAGAGAGAACTGTCTCAGTTAAAGCATCCACAAGGACCCCTGAACCAGCCAACCTCACCTACACCCCAGGGCCACCCCCTCCCACCACCTAGCCCCCTTTTCCAGGTCCCCAGGAAGCCAGCTGTACCAGGTGCTCTAGTGGCACCCAGCGGCTGGAGCAGTCCAGGGTGCACCCACCTCAGGACATCCTTGCAGAGGGGTGGGAAGGGATGCTGCTGGTAGTGCCCAAAGACTTCAAATACAATAGGCTGGCTCTTGATGTATTCAATGAAGGATTTGGTCACCTCCACAGCAATCTAGAAGAGAAAGAGCCATCAACAGCACAGTTCAGCTGGGAAAGGGATGCAGCCAGCAACAGCACTGGGGAAGTGGAAGGGTGCAAGCCTGTCCGATCCCCTGCAACCCTCACCCACCCCCTTCCTTGTGGCTCAGTGATGCTCTTCCCACAAAGACCACTGTTGTGAAATCCCAGCCTTTTGGGGTGGCAGATTTTTGCTCTTTGCCCCACACATCCACTTTGTCTAAGGCTGGTTTAGCTAGGCAGCTCTGACTATCTTCTCTGGGGAGAAGATCCAGCCAACAGCCCTGCAGAGATCATAGCAGCCATAGGGGTGAGGGGATGTGGGCAGGGCAGAGGTACTCACATTTTGGACGTGATAGAAGCCCAGTGGCGGCCCCCGTCCTGTGTTCTTCAAGGGCTCTGTTGAAAAGGCCTCGTCATGGCGATGGATGAAGCTGCAGAGGGAAGGAAAGAGACTCAGGAGCTGTGGGATAGGGATGTGCTGGAGCAGGGAGGAGAGAGATGGAAGAGGCTAGGACAAGAGTTCCCCTCAATACCTTAGGCTGGCACAGAATCCCTCGAACCTGGTGGGAGCCTCTCCCTGTCTTTCTCCAGAAACCAGAGAAGGTACCAGACAAGTGCATGGGCTCATCCCACAGCCTTTGGGTTTGCCTCCCATCCCTGAAGGGCTCAGAGATTCTGGGGCTCCCCTACATTCATCACCACCCCAAGGCAATGACCAGAGCGCAGTGGGAGATGTAGGGCTGGAGGGGCATAGGGGACTCACTTGAACTGGCAGAAGATGTCTGCGTATTCTGCAGAGATGCTGGAGGCTTGCAAGACTGTCACACGGAATGTGAACATGCTGCCCAGCTTCAAGTGGTCCAGAGCCGTCTCCAGTGGCCCTTCTGACACAGACTTCTCTGGGCTGTCCAAGAGAAGGTCCTCTGGTGTCACTGCAGGGAGGGAAGGGTCCTCAGTAAGTCCTCAGTAAGGTGAGGCATCGCACCCCCCAGCATCTGCCAGCAGCCCTGCACTAGGGCAATGGGCTTTTGATGCTCAGGTGGGTGGAAGAGGCTGGGTGTCAGGAGAGGAGGCTGCTCCCCAGCCACTTGTCAGCACTGCCTCACCTGTGCAGGTATTGTTGTTGACCTCATCAGCAGAGGGACCCACGTCGCTGACCTGCCCCTGGCCTTCGACAATGCGCAGCTCCTCCTGGGAGGTCCCCGAGCGAGACATCCCCACAGCTGGGCATGACTCTGACTGGAACTGCACCAGGAATCATGGAATCATAGAATGGTTTGGGTTGGAGGGGACCTTAAAGATCATCCAGTTCCAACCCCCCTGCCAATGTCAGGGACACCTTCCACTGTGGGGCTAAGGGATGCTGGTGTTGTCCAGGGTGGCTCTGCTCACACAGCTCATCACTGCCCTGAGCAGCAGGGCATCTCCAGCTACCCACCCCACAGCACCTGCCCTAGGACACAGTCAAGAGCAGGGTGATGCCTGCACCTCTAGGAGCCTGGTGGTCCCCATGAGGGAGTGCTGCCATGGCAGGCAAGGGGTCTGTGGTACCCAGGCACCCACCAAGAGCCAGCTGCCACCATACCTTCTCAAAGTGCTGGTCATCGAAGGATATCTTGGCCGTCCCCGACTGCCGCACGCCAGAGCCATAGTCAGGGGCTTCCTCATCCGCTGGAGGAGGGATGGGGGTCAGCCAGCACGGGGGGTGTGGGGGATGTGAGGGGCACATGTTTGGGGGGGGTCCCCCTCCTACCTGAGATGGCCTGGACTGCCACACGCAGGAAGCCCTTCACCTCGCCCTTCTCACTGACGATGGCCACGCGGTGGACCAGGGGCACAGGGTAGAGGAGGTTGCTCAGGTAGACGAAGGCCCTGCCAGTGAGGGGAAGGGGGGAGGGACACACAACACGGGGGGGGAGAGCGGTCACTGCTCCCACCCGCGGGTGCCCAGGCGCAGTGGCATGGCCGGCGCCGGCCGGGATCCCAGGTCACCGCTCACGGCGCAACCACGGCGCTGCAAAGCAAAACTAAAGAGAAGGCAGCCAGGGCCAGCCAGGAAAGGTCGGGAACGGGCAGCGGGCAGGCAGCGGGCAGCGTGCCATGGGCAGCACCACGAAGCAGACCGGCCTTGCCTACCTCTCCGGCTGTCACCTCCGTGGCGGGCGGGGAGGGGAGGGGGGCTGCGCTGGTGCCACCGTGAAGCTGGGAGGGAAGAGGACCTTCTCTGTGGTGGAGAGCTGGAGCGCTAGGGCAGGAGGTGCTGCGACATGGCTTGGGGGCAGCTGCGGAATCACCGAGGGGGACAGGGGCAAGGCGGGGTGGGGGAAAGGAGGGTGATGAGGGAGGTAGAGACCAGCGGGTGTGAAGGAGAGGAGAGGGGGAGGTCCTGGCTGGAGGCCAGAAGCCTCCAGAGATGAGCCTGCTCTGCCCGCAGTGTTGCGGCCTGCTGGTGGCTTTGCCCTGCTGCACGACATGGCTGGCAGCATTGGTGGCAAGTGTCCCCCTGACCCCATCCCTTCTCGTGTATGACTTCAGGACCCCAGGCTCCACACCAGCACATCACAGGCAAGGGGCCACACTGGGGTTCAGCATGATGTGACAGCTGCCCCATGTTGCTGCTGACAACTCCTGTCAGGCTGCAGCTCCCTGTTTCTCACATGTTTTGACTCCTCTTGCTGCCTTCTTCAACCTCCCCGCCAGCTGGCTCGCTCTTCAACTGGCTCCTGGCACTCTGGTGATGGTGGCTGCCATGCCCTCAGCAGTGACAAGTCACCTACATAGCCTTTGGCATCAAGCTCACTGCTGAGTGGTGCCAACTACTCTTCCCAGCAAGAGGGTGCAGGGTGCATGGCACCCTTCCCCAGGGCACCCACCAATGTCTTGACATGCAGTGTCTTCAGGTGTCATGGGGCCAGCCAGGACACTTCTGCTTCTCTGCATCTCCAGGCACCTGGCAGTGCTTTCTTCCTTGCAGACATCATTGCAGACATCCAACAGCACCCAAAGGTGGCCCAGTGGGCTCTTGCAGGAGGCCTCAGCCCCATACTTGCAGCCCAAGCCCCAGACTCTGGAGGTTCCCTCTTGCTCTGGTGAATCCCATTGACTACCAACCACTGCGTGAGGCTTTTTCCACCCAAATCATCTCCAAGGATTCAAGTTTTGAAGCAAAGGCGATGCCCCATCACTGTCTCCTGCTGGGGCAATCTCACTCCGTGTCTTTGAGGCCACCAGGGACAGGTGGCTGGAGTGGGCCAGGGCTTCTCGTGTGGCCCTGTGGCCATGGATAGGTCTTGAAAGTGCATGGATCTGGGTGCATCCACCGTCCTGAAACAGCAGGGCACCTGGTGTTGAAGCCAAGGAGGTGGAGGGGGGAGGAAAGAGAGGAAGGGAAGAGGGGGAGGAGGGAAGGAGGAGGGGGACATGTGTGTCACTAGAGGAAGGAGGGCAGGGACACTAACCACAAGATTGGTGAGGTGCAAAGATGGCATGCTCAGACCAAAGAAAAGCCTTTCCAAAGGAAGACAAAAGTGAAATAACCCCAATTTTAGCTAAAGCTTTGGAGAGACAGAGCCAGCAGCTAAAAAAAAACAAAACCAAACCAAACCAAAATAAACCAAACCAAAAACCTTAAAGGAAAAAAGAAAGGAAAGGGGAAAAAATCAAATACAAGGATCCAATCATAAACCAATCCAAGCACACTTCACAAGAAATGTGGCCGGCGGAGCTGCTGCGTGGAGAGCCAAACCCAGGGCAGACTCAAAAGAAGTCGGAATGCGCCAAGCTCCAGGGAATGTGTCCCCGGCATGGAGTGGGGCTGCTGCCACAGGGCCTTGTTTGGTTTTTTTGAAGCACCCCCAAGAGTTTTGGGGTTTTTTGATGTGTTGGTCGTTTTGTTTTTTAAAATAAGGGAAAAAGGAAAAAAAAAGGGGAAGAACCCAGCTCTTTCGGTCTGAGGCTGCAGGACTCTTATCCCACCTCCGCCCTCTCTGCCTACACTGGCCCTGCTCCTCCCCACCTCACTGCTCATACTCTGCCTGGCAGCGTTGAGCCTGGCTTTAGCACACCAAGGAAGAAAGTTCCACTGCTGCAGCTCCACCCCAGTTGGAGCAGCCCCAAGAGGGAGAGGTTCACTGTCATGAGACCCTCTTGCTCCTGCATGGGTCAGAGGCTCCAGGACGAGCTCTGGGCACACATCACCTTGGGAAAACCCTGGAGCAGAGCTGGCAGCAACCACATCCCATCTTGGGGATAGGCAGATCTAGACTGGATTTGGTAGCTGGTAAGTTTCTATAGGCTAAGACCGATGGAGCTCACAGGCATCTCCTGGCCAACAGGTATGAAAACTCAAAGCTCTTGCTCTTGGCTGGAGCTGAGGAAGAGTTGGAGCCTGTACCGAGGTCCCCATGGCCTTCCTGAACATCTCCTGTTCCAAGTTGGCAGGGATGGCCGCAAGCCAAGCATTGGGTACATGCAGTGAGAGAAAACACCTCTTTTCAGAGTCCTCCTCTCCCTCCTGCACGCTGGTCTACCCTTTCACCCATCAGCTTTGTCCTCAACTGCCTGGGGACATCCAAGCCTCATGTCTGGGGGGGGGGTGTCACACTGACCAACTCAGCCAAGATGGCCAAGCCGGTGTCAGAGGCATGCATGGCTTCAAAATGCCTGTATGTCCCCAGCCAGCAGCACTGCAAGGAGTCACCCTGGGCCAGGTCCACAAAAGTACCCAAGACCAAGACCACCATGCAGCTTTACTGGCTGCTTCAGTGCCAGGGATGCAGGAGAGCTTCCCTTTGTGGGGGCTGCCCAAAGAGGGACCTGCCTAGAGGGTCTCCAGTGGAGTTGATGTTATCTGACTCCTCCTGCTCTCCCCTACTGCTTCAATGCTTGTCACAGCCCTACCTCGGTGGGCAACTTGTTGCCCCATTGGGTGCCCCAGGCTTGGCAGCAATCCCGGACAGCTGGCCACCCACCCCCTGCACCTCCAGCACGCCTCGGAGGTGGGAGTCATGTCCGAAAGCAGTTCTCTCATGCGAAAGAGCTAGTTCCTTCCCGGCATGCTCTCCTAAAACCTCACCAACCTTCCTACTAAACTGAACAGGGGGGAGCGGTCGTAAAACGGATCCCGGCCATCACACAGTGGGCACTCCGGAAAGATGTCTTCCTCCAGGTCCTCCGCCTCCTCCTCCTCCTCCTCCTGCCCCTGGTGCTGCTCGTCAGCAGGCTCGGTGATGTCGGAGTCGGGGTTCGAGAAGGTAGGGGAGGGGGTGAGATCAGCCATGCGCTCGCTCATGCATGTGTTGAAAAGAGGAGAGCTGTTGCAGCCAGAGATATCTGAACTAAGGTTAGTACAACAAGATAGAAGACAGGTTAACACCAGCTGTTCCAAACAGAGAGAGCAAGAAAAGGAATTTTGGGGTTTTTTCTAGGTTGTTTTGCTTTTCTCCTGGTTAGGTTTTGGGGTGAGTGGGTTTTTCTGCTTAAAGCAAGGGACGTCAGGAAGACCTGCCCATCCAGTGTGTCTCCAAAAGGAAGCCACCAACCACCGTCAGCTATAAAGGGTGGAGAAAAGAGTGAGCCAAGGAACTGGTGCAAACTGTGGGGATTCCCCTTGCTGAGGCTCGCTGCCACCCCTGCCGCCAAAGGGAATCTCTCCACGCGCATGCGGCTCAGCCCCCTGCTCCCCCTGCCCGCCAAGGCAGACCCACTCTCCAGGGTAGCCCATTGTTGCTGCTGGCACGGCACCCTTCTAACCAGCATGCGGGAGGTGCAGTGAGACACGCGGCACATACCAGACAGACAGATACTCAACACCAACACGTGCTCATGTTCGCAGAGGTCACAACAACACAGGCTCTTGGCCTGCTGGACAGTTGCGGGTCCCCCACCTCCCGCTGTCAGCAAGCCAAGAGCCCATGTCTCACAGCACTGGGTTAGGGCAGGCAGCAGGAGCATTGTCAGGGGCTTGCAGGTCCCTTGGGGTCCCAGCAGCCAACGCGGAGGAGAGCCATCGCAGACAGTATGGGCCCCGACCACCATTGTGTGGGGACAACACATCCTTCCAGCGCACAGCCCCAGAGAGGTGAATGCCAGCAGTGCTTCCTCCTGCAGGCTGCCTGCGGGTCCCAGCTGTGCTTAACAAGGAGCAGAAGTGCTCACCTGCCCACCAGCCTGAACCAGGGAAAGCGGTCATAGAAAGGATCTCCGCCGGTCACCACGTTGTCACAGTCGTCAATGACACTGGAAGGCACTTCTGCTGCACGGTCATACATTTCACGCATCAGGTCCAGGCGTTGCCTGCAGGCAGAGGGGAATGCAGTGGGCAGCAGTGATAAACTGGGCTGAAGCCATCCAAGCCCTCCCTGGTGTGGGCATCATTCACCCACCTCAGCTTCTCCAGGGTCCAGTAATGCGTTGCCCCGTTCTTCTGGTCCTGCACCTCTACAGCCACGATGGTCCGGGGGAATGGCCGCTTCTCCCGGTCTTTGGCAGCATCAGGAGGCAGCAGGTCAGGAGGGAGAGGTGAGTACAGCGTGTCCGTGAGGAGAACAAACTGGAACTGGACCTGAAGAGGGGTAGAGGGAGACAGTGAGCCACCTGTGAGTACAGCAAGCTCCAGGAGCAGTAAGCTCTTCCTCAGCATTTCCCTAGCTGCCCATGCTTCTGGCTTCTGCCATTGGTGCTGCAGCAAGCCAGAGAGGAGCCCCAGGCACCCACCTTCTTCTTCAGCTCCACACTGATGGCATTGGCTTCCTTGAGGAAGATGGCATTGCCCCAGAGCAGGTCACGGAGGGAGGTGAATTGGTACCACTTCCACTTCCTAAAGGCCCAGAGGGCCAGCTCAAACTCCCGCTCCGTCCACTGCACTGTGGGGGCACAGAGGGACAGTCACCCCACCACTGGGAGGGAGCATATTGGCACAGAGGTGCCCAGGGGACCCACAGTCCACTCTTCTGCAGAAAGCATCAAAACCCTGTGGCGGCACATAGCCCTCACCTTCATCCTCAGGTTCTTCTTCTTCCTCATTTGCCTCAGGGTAATACCTAGAGTCCATCTGCTTCTGCAAAGCCTCCAATTTGCTCTCATAGTCCTGGGGGAAGCAGGGAGAGGGATGATGCAACCCACAAGGTATGACCTCCTTCCATGCAGCCACATAGCACTTCTCCCCCTGCTCCCCGCCCCAGAGGAACCTGGCATCCTTCCTCCTCTGGATCCGTGTTTATGGGGACAACCCCAGGAACAACAGGTTTGCCCTTATTTTTAGGACACTCAGAACCAACCCTTGCAAACATCTTCCATGAATTCAGACATGCCTGAAGAGCCTAAGAAGGAGCAAGGTCCTGGACACCTACCAGCCTTTGCTGCTCAAGAAGATAGTTTGCCTCCTCCCGCTCCCTCCGGTACTGGTCCTCCAGTTCTTGGAGCCTGAGAGGAATGGAGAAGGAGTATGACCAACCTGGAGGTGGATACCCGACTCCTCATTACCGCAACCCCTGTGCCCTCACCTCTGCTCCATCTCCTGCTTCATGTCGATGCCCTGCTTCTCCAGCAGCTCTCTTTGGGCAAAAGCCCAGTCTACAGGCTCAGCTGGGGTCTCGGCACACGGGGTCCGCTCCCGCTCCTGCCGAGCCTGCTCGGGGTGGTTGAAGCGGAAGACATGGCTCTTCCCCATGATGATGCGGTTTCCTACAGGGATGCATGAGGGGAGAAAGGGCATGGGTTTAGTGCAGGGCCCCTGTGAGACAGAGGGAGGTGGGTTAGAGCAGTGCTGGCATGCCAGCTGTGGGGACCCACCTGAGCGCAGGATGCTGGGCTCCGTCACCTTTTTGCCATTCACGTAAGTGTCAGCACCTTCACAGGGCTCCAGGGTCACTATTACTGGAGAAACAGCCAGAGGGGAAAAGAGGAACAAAAGATAAGTTGGAAGTAGAGGGATAAATCCTGCGTCCCTTACTCCACAGCTCCTGCAAGCTCAGAAAGGGTAAGCTGCCCCAGCCAGCACCCCAGGCATGAAGTAAGGGGACACCAGGGTACCCACTGGCAGCACTCACACCCCAGGCAACCAACAGGGCTTGGCCACCCTTGGGTTAATCAGAGCAGTCCCAACGACTAAAAGCAGCTGGAGACTGGATGTGAGAGGAGATAAGAGCCTCCAGCATGCATTTCCAGCCTCCCCAGGCTTGTCTCCCAAAGCCCTTTCACCCTCAAGTTCCTGCTGGTTTGTGGTGTGGTCTTTGCTCCTTCTCTGCTATGGTCTGCTCTTCTGTCCCACCCTGATCTCTCTGGCTTGCTTACCATGGCAGCTTCCACATGCCTTGCATGGGCTTCCCTCCCAGCTAGGTCTCACTCTGAAAGTATGGAGAGGCCACGGCTATGCAGGATAGGCCCCCTAGTCTGAGGAGGGCAGGACCACTGCCTGTGGCCAGGTTCTGGGGACATGCAGAGGGATTAGGGTCTGTGGGGAGGTGGAGCCCCTCCAGACAAGGAATACCTTCACCACCGGTTTTGTTGTCACTGCGGAAAAGGCAGTGCTCTTCCTTAATGAAGTGCCCACTGAGAACGATGTCCTGCCTCTTCTCGGCATCTTCCCGGCCAACCCTGCCAGGGAGAAACCCAAGCCTGAATCTTCCTTAAAGCAGCCCCTCCCAGGGCCTCCCCCCAAAACCATCCTTGGGATTGACAGAAGCAGCCCTTGGTACACAGCAGGACCAACATCCCTAACAAGATTATACTCAAACATGTTTTTCCCACATGGCTATGGCACTTTGGGGATGGCCTGAGAATGGTGCCCAGCCTGGGGACAGCTGTCACCCAGCTGCCCACCCAGCAAGTCAGGCACCAAGATGTAGGCTAGGTTCCCACTGCTCCACAGGACCTGGCCCTCACCTTGTTATCCCATCCTTGATGTAGTAGAGAAGACACTCAGACATTAGCGGGTCCTCATTCAGGTTGACCAAGTGGGGTGTCTGGGAGAGATAAACAAGGAGTCACACCAGTACACCTTGTCTATCCAGATGCTGAGGGATGCTCCCAAAGGACCTCACGCTGCCCCTAGTATGGGCTCTCCTGCTGTCTGCAGCCCCAGGACAGCATGTGAGGCAGGTACTTTTCAAGGGGACCGAAGTGAACCAAGCAGCTGGGATGAGGATGACCTGCCTCCACATGCCTCCTTACTTTCCTCCTCAAAGGGCTGAGCCCTGGACAGCCTTTTCCCAGCTGCCTTTGGAAACTTATGTTCCAAACAGGCCCAGCATGAAGCCAAACAATTCCCATGGGGAGCCGCTGATATGGCTTAGTGTCTCCTGGGGCAGGACCCTGCTCGCCTGCACTGTGTGTCCACAGGCCCTTACCTCACCATAACATCCAGCTGTGCTGTGGACAGTGTGGCTGAGGCAGAGACATGTCCCATGCAGAGGTTGGTTTAGGATGAGAGGAGCTAAAAGTGCCTGTTTTCCTCCACTGATGGCACAAGGACACATGAAGCACTCAAAAGAGCAGGTCCCAGACCAGATGTTCAACCAGAAGTAGTAGAGACCTGAAGCCATATCTTCATGCTGAATTTAACACCCTGGTCTCCTTCCTAACAGTTCCCTCCATCACTTTCTTCCATTGGATCACAAACCACTTTGCTCTTAACAAGAGGAGGTTTCTCCCCCAACCACAGGTCTCTCTGGCTGCAGCTAGCTTGGCTCACCCCATCATCAGCTGCTGAGATTGCACCTTCAGGCAACAGGAAAAGTCCTGGGAGCATCAGTAGGTGAAGTTCTGAGTTTCCCAGAAATAAGAAGAGACCGTAAGAAACATCTTATCCGCCCACTGACACCTGGCAGGCAGACAGAGGTTTCCCCTTCACAACAGTGCTACAAACCCTGGCTGATAGGAGAGACTCACTCCAAATAGTGCAGAAGAACTGGAGGTCAAGGGAAATGCAGGCTCTTCTCCATGGTGGCTGACAGGACTAAGTTGGCTGTAACATTTAACCTCAGGCCCCTCCTGGGGAGACACACAGCCCCAGGGCCTGAGATTCCTTCAGCTTACAGTTTTTTTCCAGAATGGTGAGGCTGGCTAGCAGAAGGCAGATGCTCTACCTTCCACTGGGCTCCTTGGAGACATAACCACCCCAGCGGTGGCATAGAGCAGGACAATGAAGTCCTGCCCCGCTTTGCCCTTATTAAAATGGAGTTTTGCATGCTATCAATGCTAACTTTCCTCGCCAGCCACTGGAATAGCCAGAGGAGTTTCCACCTCCCAGACAGCTGAAGAGCAAGGAGGAACCAAGACCACGACAGCAAAACCCCACCTCCCAGACTAACTTGCTTTGGGGAATAAACCCCCATGCTTTGTATGCAAAGGTCTGGGGTCCTGACAAGCAGCAGCTGAAACAAGAATGAGAAACAAAGATAAGAGGGTAGAGATTTGTCCTCAAAGCCACACCAAGGCAGGCAAGGGGAAGGTCCTGAAGCCTTCATCACCGAGTGTCACCACCTCAGCTGGGGACACACACATCTACTAAGGTGTCTGGCCACACGATGGTTACGCAGACGAGCAAGGGGCAGCAATGTGCTATAACTGGTGCTTGGCAGGGTTCACTGGTACACAAACTCTTCGGGGCATGGCCGGTATTTGCTTAGAAAATACCTTCCAGCATGCTACAAGCAGTAAAGAGTACAGAATATTTCTGCACCCACATTTGTCAACAAGGACTTGCCAGTTTCAGGGGCAGCAATTTCAAATACCCCAAAGTATGGATTTTTGTAAGCTAACACTGAAGTCCAACACAGCAAAGCCCCACTTGAGCAGACACAACATCCAGGCAATGAGAGCTGTACATTTAGCCATGTGTTTCTAATGATGTTCGTACCCAGCAGAGTCAACACTGTGATTTCCCCTATCTGTTTCGGAGGAAAGGCTAGGAAAATATTTGGGGCTGGCCAGCAGTGACAGGGCAGGTTGGAAGGGGCTGTGGGGTTACAAATCAGCCCTTGTTTGCCAGGAAGAAGAGATTAAGATGATCCTACCTTCTTAGGAGAGAAAACACCCAAGGTGCCTCCATCCTCCCTCATGGCCACCCCCATTTCGGCAAGCAACGCTTCCCTGAAGGAGCAAGGGAAAAAAGAGCCTGTCAAAGCCCCATGAGTCCCTGGAGCCAGCTCTAGACAAGCCCAGGACAGGACCTGAGCTCATGGGATTGCCCCATAGATCACAGCTGTAGGGCTTGCTTCAGCTCTTTTCATGTCTCAGGAGGGTTTCTCAGAGCAGACAATGTTTGTAGAGGCTAATGTGGTGGACACTGGTGTGCCCAGGTACAGCCAGACAGTCAAGTTGCCAGGTGCCCCAAGAAGGGAGGAGGGGAGATGCCTGAGGACCCCCACCCCATGCCATCCCTTGCAATCCCATCCCAGTCCAACCCACCCACCTTTCCATCCGGATTGCTTCTGTCCTACGCAGCTTCTCCTCCCATGTCTCATTCAGCTCTGCAATAATCTTCTCTGTTTCCTGGCAAGCAGAGGGTTATCAGGGGTTAGGACATCCTCCAGGCAGCACACCTTCCTGCTCTTGCCTGGCTCTGGCCAGCATGCCGCAGTGGGACACTGGTCCAAGTTTCAGGCTGGTTTACAGGAGCCACAGCAACATTCACCCACATCTTTCCATCATCCCTATCCTCAAAGAGGAACAAAGACCAGCCTCTCCATCCCCTTGCTGCCAGTCTGCTCTTCTGCCATGCTGAGCCAGGAATACCCATCCCAAGCCAGGAGTGCCCATCCCACAGGGCAAAGGCAGCAGTCACCCCACAGGGAAGACAGCAGCACCCTACCATGCCAAGTCCTCTCCCATCTGGAAATCCAGAACACTGGGCAACTCTGGGTCTGTCTGCTCTGCAAGAGCACAGCCTAGCATTGCTTCTCATGAACATTCCCAAATGGGTTTCCAGAAAATACCGGGCGCCCTTCACAAGCCTGAGTGCAAGAACATTTTGCTGAGGCCTCCACAGTGCTGGGCACCAGTCTCTTACCTTGAGCCTTTCGATTGCCTCTTCGCTGCCTGGAGCAAACATGATGCGTTCATGGAGGCTGGCGACAGAGGCTGCACGGCTGGACAAGGCTGACAGGGATGAAGAGGGGCTGATCCCAGCGATGGCATTGGTCACTGTGGAGAGATTGTCATGGCGGTGACTCAGCTCTGTCCCTCTAGCATCATTATTGTTCTCAAAGTCGGACACATCTACGGGTGAGGAAGGAGGGATGGGCCAGGGAAAGACACACGGACAGGAAGAGAGAGAGAAAGAGAAAGAGAAAGACAGAGACAAGAAAAGCTGTTGGGAAAAAAAAAAAGTGGCTGGATGCATTGAGAAAAAAGCCAGGAATTACAAGGAAAAAGCACATGCAACAGCACAGCAGCATAGGCAGCAGCAGAGTAAGGGCATATGCATGTCTCCCCCAGCCCAGGCAGCCTCCCAACAACAGCCCTGGAGACTTCCTAGACTCTTGTAAATGCTTTTTGGAAACACCAGATCCAGCAGCCATCAGGTCTATTATCAACCTCCCTCCCAAGAGTGCCACTGTCCCTCTTGTCCTCCCCCACTGACACAGCACAGATGATTTTCCTTGTCCAGCTGCCCCAGATTAGCTGGATCTGGTGGCAGGGAATGAGAAAGGAAGGGCAGGAGAGTTGGTGGCCTTATGCCCTACAAAAGGGTCCAGAGGATGGAACAGGAGAAGCCGTGGGATGCCCCCTTCCTGGCAGAGTCCAACCCCTGGCATGTTGGAACATGACCCTGGCCAGGCATCCAGAGAAAGAAAAATGAGAGCAAGGTGGCAACACTCCCATTACAGGCACTGGTAATCAGCTGCCATCAGACCCTGTGGCAAAGGGACCCAGGCATAAGGAGATGCTCCTCTAGTCTCCAATTGCAGGGGCTCAGCACGCTGTACCAGAGGCAGGCATGGCACAGGTTATCGGGTGTAGTTTGGCCAGCCATCTCTATCAGCCTGTGTCTGGGGAAGCTGAGCCAGGAGGGGAGGGGGCAGGTCCCCATCTCCTAGTGGACTCACCGTAGTCTGGCTGCACTGCCTGGCCCAGGGTTGGATGGGGGATAGTGCTTATCCACAGGCAAAAACCTACTGGCCATCCCCACGCATCCCTCTATCAGGAGAGCACCCTACCAGCCCACCCAAGCACTGTGCTGGGCTCCAGTCCCAAAGAGCCTCAATGTCAGCAGAAGCAGCAGCAGCGACAGAAATCCTCATGACAGTACGGAGGAAGGAGTCCCCACGGGGATCAGGCCTTAAGCACAGCAGAGGGGGAAGATGCTGGTCCGTCCAAGCACTATGCTCAGCCCAGGTGCTAACCATGACTGCCACCATCCCCTTTGCCTGCTCCCTGGAGACAGCCAGCCTGTAGGCAAGTAACAGCTGGATTTGATGATCTTAAAGGTCTTTTCCAAACTAGTTAATTCCATGATCAGCTGGGGCTGGCTACGGAAGCCCTTCCCCATGCTGCATAGGTGCCCCCAGGCGCAGCCTACACCTCCCAAAAGCTATGAAGCAACAGAGAGTACCAGTGATGGGGAATACACACATTTGGATCCTCCTGCAGCAGGATGGGCTAAGAAAGAGAGAGAGGGCAGGGAGCAGGAGTAAGACAGTGAGAACAGAACAAGAGTGGGTTCATCTCAGTAGGATATCTGAAAACACACAGAGGAGTGGCCACAGGCAGGTACAGCCCCATGAACCTCTGCCTGGCATGGGATGCTGAAGACAGGAGGGGGAAGGGGAGAAGGGGAGATCTGCTGGTATAAAGCAGCTCTTCCTGCTTACAGGAGTGGTATGGGGGTTGCAAATGTGCACACAGGGGCTCTCCAGAAGCACCCCAGACACACATGGGCAGCATGATGCTGCCACGTGGCCAGCAGAGCAGGATGCGGGGCAGCTGCAGGGATGCTGGCCCCGCAGGCAGGGGGGACTCCAGCCTGCTGTCTGGAGCCATTGCCAGGGAGCACCGGGTGGTACCTACTGTCAATGATGTCCCCAAGGCCCTGGGCGTAGAGAAGGTCACGCAGGCGTGCCACCTCATCCTTCAGCTCCCGGATGAGCTTGTTGTTGGGGTCCTCATTAATGACAGCATTGCAGCGGATCTGCTTTGCACGGTCAGCGTACCTAGGGAAGGGCAGAGCCCTGAGCAGCAGCAGAAGCAGGGCAAACTCCCACGTGCTGGGCAAGCAGGAGTGCTGCCAAGCCCCTCCAGCATGTGATCCTCTGGAGGATCCCAGCACCAGGACAAGCCTTTGGGCTCTTGCCTGAGGTTGCAGGTTCCCCACTCGCCAGCCAGGGATGCCACAGAGGTGAGGAGAGCATGTGGCAGTGCCTGGATTTCATAGACCACCCCTACCCTTGACCACTGTGGAGGTACAATGGTAATTCTTCCTACCTGAGAGTGCTGAGGGTCTCATCGTAGTTGATGTCAGCAGGACTGAGAGCAGCGACCATGGCTGTCCTGGAGTTGCCCCCTGCCCAGAGAGATACACCTCCATCAGGAAGATGCTGGTCCCACGCCAGGCATCACCATTCACCTGGCAGGCATGCCCACCACCAAGCCCATATCTCCCACCCACTTCCTCACCCAGGTTCTCTCGCAGTAGCCAGGTCAGCACTGAGTCCCGGTAAGGGATGAAATCTGTCTTCTTCTTCTTTTTGTTCTGGGGATGGAGAGTGGAGGGAAGAGCTGTCAAACTGCCTGCTTTCTTCCAAAGGAAGGTGACAGCTGGTCCTCAACCATGGGGACGTGGAGGAGGATGGCTCTGCCCAGCCACCATGACCTTAGGCAGCTCTGCTCAAATCCACAGGTCATTAGGGGGGGCTAATGCTGGGTTTTTATTCTGGGTACCTAGAGCCACAGGGTGATAAGCATGCTGAGGGCTCTCAGGCTCTAGAAGTGTGGCTTGGATCCAGGCAGAGCCTCACACCCAAATCACCCTGTGACCCACTACCACCCAGCTGTGCTAAAAACCAACCTTCCTTTTCCCAGCCCAGCCATAGCACCTACCTTGTTCGGCCCTGAATCCTGTAAAGAAAGTAGAAAGACTGTTTCAGTGGGCTGTTCCCCTCCTTAGCACCCACCACAGCTCCCCAGCCCCAGGCAGAGGGCAGCAGGCACAGGTTCCTGTGGAGATGGTATCCTCACCAGCCCAGCTTGTCCCAGTCCCAGGGACAGCTTGGGGTATATCTGCCCATCCCTTGGAACCAGGATGATCCATCCCTCAGAGCTAGCCCATCCCTGCTAAGCTGAGCCCATTCCCCATGGTGCTGCTGCTCTCCTACACTCCAGCTACCTACCATTTCGGCTAGGGCAGAGATGACTTTCCCCAGTGTGGTCAAGGACTTGTTGATGTTTGCTCCTTCCTGGTGGAGAGAGGAAAAGCTCAGACACTCATGTAATTTCAGAATGGTGTTAAAGCCCAGTGCATCAGGGGAATGGGGAAGTCCCAGTGCAGGGTGGGCAGAGAGCAGTTGCTCTTACTGGGTAACCAGCACCTTCCAACTGGGACTCATAGACCCTGATACAAGAGCACTGAGCAGCTTTCAAACAAAACCCTGTCAAGGATTTTGGCAGTGTAGTGGGCAAGGAACCAGGCAAGGAAAGGAGATGTCACAGCTGAGGATGAGGGGACTGGACACGGCATCCCTGCCAGCAGAATGGGACTTCATGCCAGCTCTCACCTTTAGTCTTGTGCCCTTCGCACCAGTGGAGTCAGCTCGCTCACTTCCTGCCAGGTCTACCAGGCTGATTTTGCTGACCTGCAGGCAGAGATGAGACTGTCAGCCCCAGCACAGAGCCAAGGAGGGAGCAAAGACCCCTTGACGGATGACACTGTTCTGAAGGTAAGGGTGGGCTCTGCAGGGTCATTCTTGCCAGGATTTGACTAGAAGCAGGGCTAACATCCTTGCAGGCAGAGCTGGAAGGCACTAGCTGCCAAATATCCTGTCCAGGGCCAGTCCCTTGAGAGACTGTGAGACCAGCATGTGCCTGGGACTTATCTCCAGCCGGTTCTGAGCCTCTATCAGGCTGCACCATCTCATCCCAAGTGCTGTTGATAGCACACAAAGTCTTTCCTGGGTTCATGTGGATTCCCTCAGGCTCTGCTCTCACCTTCTCAGTGGTGATGTCTGTCTCGGCATCATGCCGCTTCTGCGTGAAGATGATGTTGAACACGGCATGGGAGCGGCTGCTGGTCTCGTTCATGTTGGTGGCAGCCACCGTGCTGCAGGGAGAGGAGGACAGGAAAGTTTGACACTCTGCAAGGGACACTGGAGCAGCTGGCGATGGGGCCAGGGCTCATCTCAGGACAGGAAAGGCAAGCCTGGAGAACAGGAGAGGACTCTGGGAGGAGGCATGCAGAAGTCCAGGCCTTTTCCTGCTGGCTTCCAGGCATTTTGAGAGCAGGAAAGAGGTAAGGTGAAAATAAGTGGGGGGTACCCAATGCTCAGACAGGAGGCAACTGCCACTCTCAGAGCAGCCAGACCAGCAAAGCATGGAAGTTAGGCAGCACCTTCTGGAGATGTCTGCAAGCTCTCCAAATCATGACCATCTCCTGCTTCCCCAACTCACCGGGCCTTGTTCCCAGAGTCCATCAGGTCCTGGATATCGTTGTAGGAGGTCACAGCCAGCTTGGAAAGGTCTTCAACATATGGGCCCATGAGGGGATGCTCCCTTACTCGCAGGTTCCCCTTGTTCTTGGGGTTCAGGAGGTCCCTCACACGCTCACAGTATATCTCCATGTAGCTCACCTACAGCAGAGGGTATGGGCAAATCTAGTGACCGGCAGCATGTGGATGCTCAGTTCATAGGCAGAATGAGGCCCTGCCCACCCAACCCACATCCAGAGATGGGACCCCCTAAAGAGGGGTCTGCACACCCCCATGGCTTGCAGAGCTGGGTGGGAGGCTGAAGCTGGACTAGACAGGCAATGGGGTGCCTACCTCCACTGAGTAGGACATGTTGTCATTTGTCGTGTCGTTGATGCGGGAGAAGAGGTCCTCACACAGCTGCAGAGAGAAGAACCAGGCTGCTCACCCCCCCTCATCATAAGGATGCAGAATGCCCAAGCCACAGGGATTTCTACCTTCTCACTCCAAAAGACAGAGCCCCCTAAGTGCTGGGACAGCTCCTGGGGAGCTGGCAGGCCCCCCACACACACACTGATATGGGGGCCTCAGCATTCCCAGACCCCTCCCGGTACCCTCCTGGTCCAGCATGCAGCAGCTCTTGGTACACACAGCTGCTGCTGGCTGGCACTTGGACTGCAGCTTCTCACAAACACGTTGTGTGGCCAGACTCTAATTTATCCAGTCTCAGAGAAGTCCAGTGTTATGCCTTATTGTCCCCCTGCCCTCCATTGAGCACCTTGCTGCTGTAACAGGGTTGCATCAGACTTTGGTCAAGCCTGGCCCTGGTCCTTCCCTACTTCCCTCCTTCCTCCCCACTCCACTTTTAGTTTGGGTATCCCGCTGTGGCCAGGGTAATGGGTAGCTTTTCACCAGGTGGTACCTGAGGGATGATGCCTTGCTGGTCCTTCTCCTGCTTCCCCATCATGGTGTAGGATTTTCCAGCACCCGTCTGCCCATAGGCAAAGATGCAGACATTATAGCCTTCAAACGCATGTTGCAACATCTCCTCACCAATGTCCCGGTACACTTGCTTCTGAGATGCATAGTTGATATCTGCAGGCTGCAGAGAGGAGGGGGATAAGGAGAAATTTGGCAAGGAGGTCCTCCTGCCCTCCCCAGCCCAGTGCTCCAGGCTCAGGCCTCCTGATGCTTACCGTAGTGTGGGACCAATAGGAATAGTCAAAGCTGAAGCTTTTTGGTGTCTCTTTGGGCTGCTTCGGGTTCAGGATAGCTAGGGGCAAACAGAATGGAATGTGAGGCCACCCAGTCACACACGGTACCCTGCCACCTGCATCCCACTTCTGAAGGGAGAAGGGTGTGGGGTTCAGTCTGAAGCAGTCATAGAAAGCAGAACTTGCGACCATCCAGCTCCACAGATGTGTCCAGAGCTCCCAGACTCAGTCACAGCAGAGGAGGTGGGCACCATGGCCCCAGAGCCTACAACAGCCAAAGGAACCGGGCAGAGTCTTGTCCAAACATCCTGCTGGGCAGTGTGAGTGAAACAGTTCCTTCCTTTGGGCTCCTTTCTGCTTGTTGGAACCCAGAACCAGTACCAGCACCAGTATGGGAGGATCACAGCCTTCCTTCACCCCATGGCTGGGGGATTCAGGCCCAAGGCCACGCGCATTGGCACGGTGAGGTGGGAGCAGCCATGGCCCCATCAGGGCTCCCCCAATCCCTCTCCAGCTCCTGTCTCTCCTCCCCTGCTCTTTCTTTTGGGTACCCAGCCCCAGCAGAGTGGTTAATGCCTTGTGTTACACTGGCAGCGGAAACAAGAGCCTGCTTTTTCCTATCCCCTGGTGAAAAGGACGTTGCCATGGAAATTGGAGACTGCATCACTTCTCGTCCTCGATTCCCCCCCCTCCTCCCTGGGCATTTATGATGTTTTTTTTCTGAAACAACAGATGCGTCAGAAGAAACCCAAATCAGCGGGGTAATCACGAGATCCAGCCACCAGCCATGTCAGGCAACATTGAAATGACCTTGCGGCACAGCACAGCTCCTGTGCCCATAGCCCCCTGCTGCTCCCTGACACTGCTGGGGACCAGGAGGCTGCACAGCACCAAGGCTGATGGAGCTCCCCCCATCACAGCCCCAACCTGCTCTGCCTGGGGCTGGCACTTAGGCAGGGCTCGTGCCCTTGGGATTCAATCTGAGGCCTTCCCAACTGGCCCCAGGATCCAGCCTTGACCATGAAACTGCAGCATGGTGCTGCCCAGATGCCCCTCACTGTAGGCACGAGCCCAGCACCAAAGAGAGGCTGGGCACTGGTTCCCTGCCTACTGGAGGCAGCATGACTCATGCTCCAGATGACTACAGCATCCAGGACTAATTAACCAGGAGAAAGGGCTGGGAAGTGATAGCTGCATAACAACTGCCCATCCTGCAGGTACAACTCATAGAATGGTTTGTGTTGAAAGCAATCTTAAAGCTCATCCAGTTCCAGCCCCCTGCCATGGCCAGGGACACCTCCCTCTAGACCAGGTTGCTCCAAGCCCCGTCCAACCTGGCCTTGAACACTGCCAGGGATGGGGCAGCCACAGCTTCTCTGGGCAACCTGTGCCAGTGTCTCACCACCCTCACAGGGAAGAACTTTTTCTTAGTATGTAAAGCTGCTCTAAGCCCCTGAGCCTTCTTCAGACTGAATACCCCCAGTTCTCTCAGACTGTATTCATAGGAGAGGTGCTTCAGTTTTTTTGGGCTGGGGACTTGGAAGTCCCCACTGAGATACAGACTGAAATGGCACCAGGCTGTGGGGGCTGCCCATCCCTGTTAGTGACTGGTTGGTGTGTTGAGGATGTGTGAGCAGCCATTGCAAAAGAAAGCAATGTAAGGCCATGCAAGAAGCCAATGGAGCAACTCTAGTGGCTCCTGGGGTTCCCCTGGCACCTCTGCCATGGTACCCAGCCTCCCAGTGCTCAGCCTGGGTCTGTCTCTGCCCTGCAGAAGTGACCCTCACCAGAGCCAAAAAGGAGTACAACAAGGGCAAAAAGAGGAGCAGACAGAATGGGGCAGCACAAGGCAGCTGTTCTACACTCCAGTGCCAGCTCACGCTGGGCACGGGGCAGAGGAGCAACCAGGGATGGCACCGAGCAACTCCGGGCATCCCAGCTGCATCCATCCAGCTGGCCCGGCAGAGCGGAGACTGGGACACAGGCAAGAAGGGAGCACTTCGAGAGCAGCAGTCTGCTGTCCCTGAGCAGAAATATGCTCCCCATGCCACTTTCATTCCAGTTTATTTGCCCCTGCTCCATGGCTGGATGTCATGGGTGACTTTTTCCCTCTCCTGTGACCAGGCATCCCAGGGCTTTTTGCAAAGCTTCTGCAAAAGATCCGTGCTCTGGCCAACGGGGGTTAAAAAAGGCAGGGAGGGCACAGAAAGAGGACTGAGGCAGACATACAAACACGAGCAGGATGAGGAAAACGTATGGAGATGACCCTTGTCTTCACCCTGAAGAGGCATGGCAGAGATAGCGAGAGGTCAAGCACCAAGCAAGACAAAACCCAAGACCCACAAGAGTGAACATAATCACTATATTTCAAAGCCCACAAGACTTGTGGCTTCAGCTAGAGAATATTAATGGCCTCGAAGGATGGAAGCCAGGGTCGCTTCCTCGCCGTCCTGATGGGAGCTGCCAGGAGAGGGGCCGGGGGGGGGTGCTGGTAGCCGGGTTACGCCCCGCAGCCGTGCAGAGGCGGAGACGCCACAGCAACAAAGCAGCGGTGTTGGCAGCCGCGGCGCAGCAAGCCAAGGGGTGGGAGCTGCAAGTCCGCGGAGGAACAGGGCAGCAGAGAAGAGCTGACCCCTTCCTGCCCCGGTGCCCAGCCCGTCCTGGCCCCGAGGGCTGAGTGCATTAGGCACAAGAACAACGCTCGCTGCCCTGGCATGTCCAGGTGTCTCCGCAAATAGCGCTGGGAAAGGGGAGACTTGTTCTCGCCCCACGCAAACACATTTATTTTTGGCTTCTCTGCAAGGAGCCGGGGGCCCGAGACAGCCCCGCTCTGCAGGGGAGCAGCCTGCACCACCGCGTCCCCTGCCTTCCCCAGCCAGCAGCAGGAGCAGGACCAGAGCCTCCCTGGCGCCTGACCCCAGGTCGAGGGGATTAGCCGACGGTGTGTCCACTCATGCAGAAAAACCTCGCCGTCAGCAAAGGGCTGGCGAGCGCTGCCCCTGCGCCTGCCTGCAGCCCTGCCAGCCCTCACAGTGCAAGCAGGGGTGAAGGGCCGGGGGCACAGCCCGGGGGGGGCTCGGTGGAGCAGGATGGCCATGCACAGATTGCTCTGAGCAAACACGGCCATGGTGGAGGTGGGGGATGCCCAACGCTCTTGACCGGGAGTGGCTTCCTCGCCATGAGGGAAGCAGCTCTGCACCACGGGCAGACAGAGCATCCCTGCATAACGGGGCAGGGAGTCCCGCCCCGGGATGCCAGAGACCAGCAAATACTACCTTATGGACCCACAACTCCTCATTCCGTCTCCACAGGTTCAGGGTAAGAAGGGGACCTAGCAGGGCCACAGAGCTGCCCTGCACCTTTGGGTACCCTCCTCTCTCTCTCACTGTGGGTGTCACAGTACCCACTGGCACACTGTGGGGGTAGCTGGCGCCAGCATTTCACCCACCACCGTCTGTGAGGCAGGAAGCCCTTGGCAGGCAGGCAGGGAGTTATTTTAGACTCTATCCTTACCTGGTGGCTTCCACAGCCAAAGAGGAAGCCGCCTTCCCCACCCCATAGTTCCAGCCCATATGCTGGGCTGCATCAGAAGGAGCGTGACCGGCAGGTCAAGGGAGGACATTCTCCCCCTTTACTCCAGTGTCTGAGATCCCCCCATAGACCTGTGTCCAGCTCTGGGACCCCAACACAAAAGGGACGTGGGGCTGCTCACGTGCATCCAAAGGAGGCCATGAAGCTCCAAGGGCTGGAGCACCTCCGCTATGGAGACAGGCTGAGAGAGCTGGGCTTGTTTAGCCTGGAGAAGGCTCCAGGGAGAGCTTAGAGCAGTTTCCAGTGTCTAAAGGAGCTGACAAGAATTCTGGAAAGGGGCTTTTTACAAGGATCTGTAGTGACAGGACAAGGGGGAATGGCTTTGGGCTGAAAAATGGTAGATTTAGGTTAGATATTAGGAAGAAACTCTTCCCTGTGAGGGTGTTGAGGCCCTGGCACAGGTTGCCCAGAGAAGCTGTGGCTGCCCCATCCCTGGCAGTGTTCAAGGCCAGGTTGGATGGGGCTTGGAGCACCTGGTCTAGAGGAAGGTGTCCCTGGCCATGGCAGGGGGTTGGAACTGGATGAGCTTTAAAGTCCATTATAATTCACACCATTCTATGGTTATTTAAAGAGGGGCAAATGCCAGATAGGCCTCTGATTGGATAAGAAGTCCCAAGCTCCTGTGCTACATTCCCCCTCCCTGAGCACACCATTCCCTTGGCAAATCCCACTCCCACTCCTCCATCCTGCATGGTTCCCCACGGAAGTGGGGATGGGTCCCGGCACAATGTGGTGCATGGTGCCTGGGAGCCAGTGCTGTCAGGAGCCACTCACTGGCTAGTGCACAGCTTCCATGCTTGGCCAAGCAGCCACAGGCTGGGCATCCTCAGCCGCACATCCATGCACCAGCATTTCCAGGCTCTTCTGATTCTCCCCCTACCCCGTCACCTGCTGGGGGATCCTGCCCCATTCAGTATCACCAAAACACAAGGGCTCAGTGCCGTGTAGATTCCGATGCTGCCATTTCAACAGCAGGACTGCATTTCCCTGTGGAAAACATGAAGACCCCCCCCAGACTCCCTCTTCCAAAGGACTCCAGGAATCCACACCAAACATCTAGCACCCCAGTGCTTGCTGCTGCAGCCTGACTGCACATGCTCCAACCCAGGCAGCACCCAAAACCTCCCCAAGGCCCCTCTGTCACCAACGCTGGCACTCACTGGTGGTGCTTCCTGACATCTGGATAATGCATTTAGATTCCCGGCTCATCTCCCGGGAGTTGAATGGCCGGACGCGCACCGCCACCTTCACAGATGCTCCTGCCATCGTGCCAGCTGGAGGTGGGTCCTGCTAGCAGGGAGCAGTGGCTGTCCTGCAAGGAGGCAAGAAATGGGAGTTAGGAGACCTCACATCCCAGTCCCCATCTTGTGTGTGTGTCAGATAAATACCTGTGTGACAAAACCTCCTGGGTACCCTGGGTTGTCTCTGCTTGAAAGATGACATTCTGTTGCATCCCTTGATCTGCCCATGTTTTGCCTCTTCCCCCTTCCCCTTATGTTTCAGGTGAGGATCACCTGGTCAGTCCCAGGGGACATCCCTTCCTGCCCTTACCCCAGCGCAGCAATCAGAGCCCTGCAGCGTCACTCGGTGGGTAACCACAACAGGGTATAGGGCCACTTGGGCACAGTCAGCAACAGCATGACCCCCAAGGAACAGTTATTCCATCCCAGGGTGCCAATGGCACTGAGCAGGTAACCCTTCACCTGCAAGCAAGCCTGCAATGCCCTGCCCATCACCTGAGCCTCCTGCCTCCAGTCCAGCCCCAGCAAAGCCTGGAATGGGCAGCAGGACTGGGTGGAGGGCCAGATAAATGATGGCATTCATATTGAGAAAAGAGGTGCTTGTTGAACACAACTGCTGATATTTGCCTCTCATTCAGCTCCTAGCAAAAGCAGATGTGCAGCATCAGCAGGAGCAGCACCAGCCAACAAGCGGGTGGCAATCACACTCAGCTGAAGTTCCCATTTTGTGATCATTTGTCCACTCCTTTTACTAATAAATTATTAATCACAAACCTTACAAGATGAAATGGGCCACTCTCTAACATCTGCCAGAGCAGCCACTCATTCCAGCACTGATGTCCAGGCTCTCTGCAGCTGGTCCCATCTTCCCCAAGCCTCAGTTAAGCCTCACTAGCTTTGGCCAGAAGAGAATGCTGGGGTCCTTCCCTTGACCACTGGGTCAGTATCAGTATCATTCAGTATCAGCCCTGACAAAATCCATTCCTGCATTCTAACATCAACCCTCTTTCTTGCCTGCCTCCTGCCCCCTATGCCCTTGCCAATGGAAGAGGAGCTCAGCATCACACAGCATGAGCTCCTCCAGCATCCCTGCCTGTGTGACTCCTGCCTGCTGGATTCCTGCAAGGGTGTTTGCAAATGCCCTGGGGTTTTTGAACCTGCTCTTTGCCAGGAGCGAGCAATGGCACAGCTGTGGTTATGAAGACCGTGACCTGATGGAAGTGGAGCAGTAAGGATGTGTCCTCAACATGAGATGGGTTTTCCCACAATGGAAATGAAAAATATAGATGAGTTTGTAGGGAAAGGGGTGGGGATGGGGGAGGGAGGGTTGGAAGAAAGAAGAAAAGAAATCCAAAGAATGGACAGTGTCCCAGGAGAAGAGGATGGCTTGAAAACAAACCGAGGTTTGACAGCTCCAGTTTTATTTCCAGTGGGGTTGGGAGGAAAGCCAAAGGCAGGTATACTAATGGTGCAGTGGAAAAATTCACAGCCAGAAAGTGTTACAAGCTTGGTGCTGTCTTTGCTTGCTTTAAAAGCCAGCCTGCGCTCCTGACAGTAGGAGGACAAACCTCCCATTCCATTTCCCAAGCCCTCCTCTCACTGCCCACTCCAGAGCTCCCACTGTGCTCAGCCAGCAATCACATCCTTAAATCCCACCAGCTCCAGAGCTCAAGCATTTGGTCTCAGGCTTTCCTGAGCATGGATTATTTTAAGCGGGTGCTTAACACCACTGCTGAGTCCCTGAGCCTGCAAGTGGGCTGCCACATATCAACAGGCCTCTGCTTTCCCACCCTGCTGCTTTCTCAGATGGGGAGAAGGAAAAAATTAAGCAGGACTCCTTGCCAAAGGGGAATGAAAAAGTTGGGTTTTCCCATAAAACGATGGGATATATTCCTGGGTGGAAAGGCTACATCCTCACCGGGCCATTGGCTTGAGCTGCTCCACCCTGTGGCACCACTGGTGATCAGGGATGATGGAGCACCCATTGCCCACACAGCAGGCAGCAAGTACCTGTGTCAAAGTCTGCCCTGTCCTCCTCCACAGCTTGGATAGCTTCCTTCCCCCCTGTTCCCAGGGCTGTAAAGAGGTGGTTCAGGCCCCCAGGCTCCCGACTTGCAGCACAGCACTTGGCAAGAGCCACCAGCACTGGAATAGTACCACCCATCAGTGACCCCACCAGCCCTGGAACCGACTGCTGCTCATTCCATCCCACCCCTGTGCCGTTCCCATCACAGCCCCTTCAGCCCTATCACTTCCCACGAAGCAGCACTGGTTTCTCTTTCGTCCCACTTTTCTGGATGCCTTATCTTGCTGTATGCCATCTATTGATGGCTGCTTGCCCTCCTCTGCCAGGAGGGCCCACTCAGTCCCACTGTTAATACCACCACAGCCCACCCTCGCTGGCTGTGAGAAGCCCCCTCATCACCATCAGGACCTCTCCTCTCCCTGTGCCATCCTGATGCCCACGTCCCGGTGTATTCCCAGCAAGCCATCTGGCTTGCCTAGTCCAGGGCGTGGGCTCCTCTCCCTCCCGGTATTCACTGCTGCAGAACCACAAGCTCAGCTCCATTTTCTAGCTCCATCCATTTCCTTCAGCCTCCTCGGTCGGCAATGTGCCACTTGCTTCCTTCCTGCTCCTCTGCAGTGATCTAGTCCTATCTCTGACACAGCAGTGCGAGGACTCCAGACAGCAACGTGCACCTCCTGAGAGCATCAGCAGCCCCCTCCCCAGCTCTCTCCTGAGCCTCTTTTCCTTCCCCCAACTCCTATTTTCCTGGCTCTGCAGAATCAGCCTGCAATCCATGCAATGTGGCAGCACCACCAGCCACGGCCAGCACTCACATCCCTGGCCGCAGGTTCTCAGAATTCCCCAGAGAGGGGGCACGCTCCACGGCGGGCAGGCAGGGCAGAGGCAGGCAGCCTCCCCCCAGGGCAGCGGGTGGCTCAAGCCCAGCTTGCTCTGCCCGGGGATAGTCAGCCACCGCCTGTTTAATCTGCCATCGAGAGAAATTCAATAAGCTGCTATCAGCCTTTCCCTGGGAGCGGGCCAGCACCGTGGCCCCACTCCTGGCTTCCTCCCTGCAACCTCCCGGGACCACCCCACACACAAAGGAGACAGTGGAGGAGGGCAGTAGAGACCACAGACTGTGGTGCCAGGGGGCAGGAAGGTCCAGATCTACCCCTCAACTGTGCAGGGCATCTCTCTCCCTGCTTCTTGCGCAGCCCACAGCATCCCTGCCAGCCCTAGGTGATGAGGAAAAGGCCTAGAGAGCCATGATTAACTGGATCAGCTAAGATTAATTGGGCAGAGATTAGCTAACGAGAGCTCTCTTAAGTCCGAGGGCTACCAACTGGCAGGTCTCCTGCCACTGCCAAGAGGTGACCATTGGGACGGGGAGCATTGTCCCCAAGTGCCACCCACAGCCAGCTCCTCCCCTAAGGATGCTGCAGGGACCAGGGTTCCAGCGATGCTAACACAGGTCAGTACAGCCAGGATTCCAATTCCCAGCAGCCAGCACAAGGCAGGGGCTGCCTCCCTGGGGCCACAAGTACCTCTGGCAGCTGCCTGCACTGAGGGAAATCAAAGGTAAGTTTCTCCTTTTGTCTGCGCGGCACATCCCCACATCACCTCGGCAGTGAGGGTGGATGCCCCATCTGGCTGCGCCTCCTGAGCCATGGTGCTCTCAGCCACCAATGGCTTTGTTTTAGTAAGCCCTTACCCTGCACCCTTTTTTGCACCACCCACCCCCACCCCCCCCCCCGCCCTGTCTGAGACCAGGGGACCCTGCACTTCCTCTGGAGACAACAGGGATGGTGTGGGGGGATGCTGGGGGCACCTGGTCCAGATGACATGGCAGCACTGCGCACAGCAAAGGGCCATGACGCTGCAGTTTCCCATGGGTGGGGGAAGCAGCTTGGAGGACAGCTCAGGGCATGAGCAGTCCCCCCCCCATCCCCAGCTGAAAAACAGCATCCACTTCCCTGGAGCCATTTTGGGTACCCTGCCCCTGTGCCTTCTCGCCTCCTTCCCACCCCAATGGGGGACAATGACTTTGGGGCAGTACTTGCAGCTCCTGGTGAATTTCCATGTGGATTAAAATTTGCAGGAAGCAAATAAGGCCATGGATGAGGGGTTTTGCTTGCTGCTGATCAGCTCCCTATCCCTGCTGCAAAGGCGAGTCACCTCACGCTCCATCGCCTGCTCTCTCCATCCATTCTTCTACACACTAAAACCAACAATGGGAAAAAGCTGCATGGAAAAGGCAATGAGCTCCGGTGGGTTATCAGTATGGCTGGGCACAGACAGGGGTGGGCAGCTGGGAGGGGAGAACACCAGGTTCTGGCCCTGCCTGGGCTTTGGGGGCTGCAGCTCTCACCACATGCAGGGAGGTGGGGAGGGAGTGGTGACGGCATCTGTGCCAGCGCCCGCTGCCATCTCCCAGACAAAATGGAGGTCAGTGGCAGTGTGCAGGGATGGATGGCAGCGCCCACCACTCCCCTGGCCGAACCCCACAGGGAATCTGCTGCCCCTCCTCATGCCACCAACACCACCTGCCTTGAGGCTACTCCAGGCACTGGGGTGTGGAAGTACGGCCATGGAGTGGCAGGAGAAATGCTCAGCTAGTTCCTTGTCCTTCCCAAGCCTCACAGCCAAGGCATGGGACACGACAGGGCAGGAGATGCTCGCACACTGGGGCCTATAGGGTCCAGGGGAGGGGACACTGCCCCATGCGGGAGGAAGAGGAAGAAGAGGCAGAGGAAAAAGACAATAGAGCAGGTGCAGGGCTGCTCCCTGGGAGCCAAGGTGGCCAAGTATGGGGCTCTACACCAGCCCTTCCATCCAGGGACCATCCACTCCTTCAAGCCATCGTCACTGGCCCGCAGTGACATGGCAGCCCTTGACCTGCTGCACCCAAGCGCAAGGTCAGCAGCACACCTCATCTTTGTGGGGCATGCAAGGGCCTTGGCTTGGCAACCACCCCACCACCCCTCCCCACGTGAGACCAAATGGGGCTCTTGCGGCTTCCTCCAGCACTGTTGTTGACTCTGAAGCATAACGACGATGGTGCAAGATGGCTCAACGTCACGGCAGAGCCACCTGCCACGGAGGGGAGAGCTGGCATGGCTCTGGGGTGAAAAACAGTCCCTGTGCCCCCTCCGACGGGCAGCGGGGACAGCATCTTTCCCCTCCCCACCCCAGGCTGGTGCCGCAGCTGAAGAGGCATCGCCCCATCCCCAGGAAGGCCCCCCCCCGGCTGGATCCTTCTGGAAGCCGGGGCGGCACCCGCCGGCTGCAGCGCTGGGGACCCACGGGCATCCCCCTCCCCCTCCATCCTTCCCCGCGCCTCTCCGCACAACGCCCGCCGGCCGCAGTCCTCCGCCCCGCCGACCCCCGCGGAGGGAGCGTCCCGCTTCCCCCGCGCCCCGCCGGGGCTGCATCTCCCTCGGCCAGCACCCTGGGACCGCGTCCGCGCTACCGCAGCCCCGCCCGGGCGCGGCGGAGCTGCCCCATCCCGCACGATGCCGCCCGCCCCTACCTGTGCTTATGCCCGTGCCCGTGCCCGTGCCCGTGCCCGTGCCCGTGCCCGTGCCCGTTTCGGCTCGGCTCTGCGGGGCGCAGCGCTCAGCCGTGGGCAGGCGGCGCCGGCATGAGGCCGAGCCGCTTGGTGCGGTGCCGATGCCGGTGTCGATGCCCGGTGCCCGATGCCCGGTGCCCCGCCTCTGCGGCCCCCACCCCGCCCCGCGCGTTGGTTGGCCGACACCACCCAGAGAAAGGGGGGGTGTGCCCGGAGAGCGCGAGCAGGGGATGGAGCGGTGACGTCAGACCACCCCCCCACACGCACACCCCCGGACCGCGCTGCGGAACCGCCGCAAGGGCGCGGGGAGGGGCGGAACTCCCCGTGTCACCCGGCAACCGTCGCCTGGCAACCGCCCCCCTGCATCCCCTATTTCCCCCGGTAGCTCTGCCCCCTACAGGGCTCTCCTTCCCCAAGCCCCGCTCCTGCCTCTGCCCCGACCCCAGCCCCGGCGGCCCCGGCTGGCGCATCCACCTCCGGCAGAATTCCATCACCCCCCGGGGCCGCCGAGCCCGCAGCACCCGGCGCGCCCTGCCCGTCTGCGCGGCGGAGTTAAACCCAGCGCGGAAAGGAGATCACGCCTCGGCGGCCAGCTGTTTCCAGCAGCACATCCTCCCTGCCCCCTCCATGCCCGCCGCGGGGCCGCATGACCCACCCTGCCCCACACTTCACACACATCTCCCTGGAGGACAGGCAGCCGAGGTGTCTTCATCCACCCATCCACAGCAGCATGGGTCTCTCCTGCTGATGTTTTTGGGGACTGAGTGTTTTCGCAATGCTGCAAACATCGGGCAGCAGTCCTGGTGGTGTGGAGTCACAGGATCATAGACTGGTTTGGGTTGGAAGGCACGTTAAATCTCAGCCAGCTCCAACCCCCTGTCCCGGGCAGGGACACCTTCCACTAGACCAGGTTGCTCCAAGCCCCCTCCAACCTGGCCTTGAACACTGCCAGGGATGGGGCAGCCACAGCTTCTCATCCAGAGGAGCACGTGGCTGGAGCACAGGATGAGGACCTCAGGATCTCTCAGGACATTAGGATTTCTTGTCCTCACTTTGGTAGATGATGACAGCAGTCCCAAGGCTATCTGTGGTTTCCAAGCAGTGTCAGCCATGCCAGCTCCCAGCTCTTCTCAGAGATGACCATACAGCTGCCCAGCCAGAACTGCTGTCACCTGGCAGTGTTGCCAGCCCCACATCCCTGACCCAAATGCCTTCAGGACCAGCCATCAGTGCCAGCTTTGCCAGGGGGACTTTCCATCCAGCTCAAACATTGCTCTGGCCAGCAACCTGCTCCTAGATCTGCCAGGAGCTGGCAGTGGTAAGCTTGCTCACGTTTCAGAGTAGGGATGACAAAGACTTGCTGGAGGTTAGACATGGTACGATGGGCCTTGGGCACATGGGGCAGGTAACAGGCACATGTGGCCTGTGGCATCATCAGGACATGCTGAGATGCCCACGAGCCAGGATGAGCCACAGAGCACACAGCTCACTGCAGGAGGGACTGCAGTCATGTCCCACCTGATAGCTCTGCCCTTGTGAAAAATCATTGCAATGGCAGCATCCTCTGGGCAGCACTCAGCCAGGTGTCCTTCTGCAGGGCAGGTCCTTGATCAGGGAAACCTGCCCAACAAGAGCTTTGGGCTGCTGGAGGAGTTGTGAGTGTGCCAGTCCCAGCTCAACCATCCCATGGCACAGAACCTGCGTGCCCAGGAGCAGGGATCCCACCTGCTGGGATGGTGTTGGGAACCATCAACCACAGTGTTCTGGGAGCCATGGGGATGGGGTCTGTGTGGGTGCTTGTGGGTGCCAGGAGCTGGCATCCCTCCAGCACTAGCAAGTGTGGATCCCCCCAAATGAGGGGGCTGAGACAGCAGGGATGGTGCTGGTGTCACATTAACCAGACAAGGAGGTGACCAGGGGCAGAGTCCAGCCCACTGGAGGGAGCACCGAGCCCTGGGGTCAGGGTCCACGGGGAAGCTGGTCTCTGCTGGCACAGGATGCACTGTGCTGCGGTGCTGCTTGCTTCACGGGCAGCCTCCGCTGCTCCTCTCCGGACTCGCCACGCCATGGCCTCCAACCTGCTCCACATCCTCCCGCCCCAGCGGCTGCTCCGGCCCCTGGCCGTGCCAGAGAGGCTGCTGCTCGGGCCGGGGCCCAGCAACGTGCCCCCTCGCATCCTGGCTGCAGGTGGCCGGCAGCTCCTGGGCCACATGCACCCCGAGGTGCTGCAGGTGAGCTGCCCCGGCCCAGCCTTCCTCCCCTCCTCCCCTCTTCCTCACCTCCCATGAGGGGATGGGAGGGCAATAGCGGTGCCAGCCAGTCCCCTGTCTCCACAGGTAATGGATGACATTAAGGTGGGCATCCAGTACGCTTTCCAGACACAGAACCAGCTGACCCTGGCTATCAGTGGCACTGGCCACTGTGCCATGGAGGCTGCCTTCCTCAACCTGATAGAGCATGGCGACACAGTGCTGGTGGCTGTCAATGGCATCTGGGGACAGCGTGCGGCCGACATCGCCAGGAGGCTGGGTATGCTGGGGACAGCCAAATGGCATCAGCGGAGCTCATGGAAATGCATGCGGGTGGGATGCCAGATTGTGACCCCTGGCTTGCTGTCCCCATCCCGGCAATAGTGTCCAGTGAGTGACACAGCTTCTGCAGCCAGAGAGCGCTCCAGGTTTTTTCCAGGGTGATGTCCCTCCAGTTAAGTGGTTTATAGCTTTTCCACTGAGCAAATCCATGGGAGGCCGGATCCCCTGTGGGTGGCCATGCTAATGGTTCATGCATAACCAATTCCCCCACGGAGCAGGTGACTGTCCAGGTGAAGGCACACCAAAACCTCATTCTGCTTCTGCCCGAATGTCTCCCAGGAGCCAGTGTACATGAACTGCTGAAGCCCCCAGGCGAGTACTTCTCTCCCTGGGACATCGAGGAGGTGAGTGCTGGCTATGGTGCAGGGCAGTAGGTACAAGCTGGCCCCCGGGTCAGTCACCTTCCCCTCTGTTTCATGCAGGGCCTGGTACAGCACAAGCCCTCACTGCTCTTCATCACCCATGGCGAGTCCTCCACAGGGGTACTGCAGCCACTGGAGGGGCTGGGCAAGCTGTGCCATCGGTCAGTGCACAGTGGGCACCTATGGGGGCTAGTAGGCCCCCAGCATCACCACTGGGGATTGGGGCATGGGGGTTTACATGCCCTGTCTCTTCTCTGGCTGTGTTGTACTGGAAGTTGTTGGTTGCCAGTGAGACATGTGGCCTTGGGGAGACCAGGATGCAGGGGCTGCAGGCAAAAATGTGTCAAGAGCAGGTGGGCGTGACACCAGGCTGAGCTTTGTCTTCACACAGGCATGACTGCCTGCTGCTTGTGGATGCAGTGGCATCACTCGGGGGAGCCCCCATCTTCATGGACCAGCAGGGTAAGAGCCACAGTGCCATCATGGGCATTCAGGGGACAAGGGGGCTCACAAGGGAGGACAAAGGAGAAAGGGAAGGTGGAATCAGACTCACTGCTCGCATTTCGGGCTAGCAGCATTAGAAACTGGTCCAGCTGCAGCCAGAGAGCCTGTGTTCCCCTTGGGGAACCATCAAGTGTTAGGTGTGCTTGATGCAGGCCAAACACAAATGGGACTTGCAGCATGTGCCACTCTGTGCTTCCCTGAGCTTGGGGGGGGGGGGGGGGGGGGCTCAATGTGACCCTGCTATGAGCCTCTGGTACCTAAAGAGCTGCTTCCCCTCTTGGGCAGAGATCGACATCCTGTACTCGGGGTCTCAGAAAGTCCTTAATGCCCCCCCCGGAAGTGCACCCATCTCATTCAGTGAGCAAGCCAGGTAGGGGCAAACCTGTACTGATGCGGGGAAAGGCAATGACGGTTGGCAGCCCCCTGCTTTGCCAGACATCTGCTCCAGCTCTGCTCTGAAGAGTGCACCCAGCAGCAGCTCTATGTGGCCAGAGGCCTGCCCGTATCTGGACAGCCATAGCAGCTGGAGCCACTGTGTTCACTTTGGAGAGGCACTCCTGCAGAACTGACCCCACTCCAGAGCTGATGGGGTCAAGGTCTGTGTCCTCCCCAACACTGCTTCACCAGGGAGAAGGTTCTAAGGAGGAAGACAAACCCCCCGTCCTTCTACCTGGACATGCGTTGGCTGGCAAACTACTGGGGCTGTGATGGAGAGCCGCGAAGGTGAGAGCAGGCTGTCCCAGGACAGATGGCTGCAGCTGTCCCACCCACAGCCTTTTGCTGCAGCTTGGGGGTCCTGTCTTCCCATCACCCTGTCTTCTGGTCACCAAGTGTTCTGGGGGGGATTTGCATGCCCCCTGCGCTGTGCGAATAGGAGGGAGGACACCGAGCCCTGGTTCTCCCCACCATGAGCTGCAGTACTGCCCTGCGATGGGCTGGGCTGAACTGACTTGAGTGCTCCTTGGGTTTTACAGGTATCACCACACGGCTCCAATCAACAGCTTCTTCAGCCTACGGGAAGGCTTGGCCATGCTGGCGGAGCTGGTGAGTGGCAGCAGGCAGGCGGGGGGGCACCAGCAGTGCTGGTGGGCTTGGGGGAGTGGTGGGTGCCAGGAGGTATCCACCAGCGGCAGAGACCTTCTCCTTCCTCTCTTCTTGCAGGGTCTGGAGAACTCCTGGGAGAACCACCGGGTCAGCTGTGCCCAGTTGTGCCAGGGGCTGTGCGACCTGGGGCTTGAGCTCTTTGTGAAGGAGGAGGTGAATGCGGGGCAAGCCCATCACCATGGTGCAGGGGCAGTGTGAGAAAATGCCCCTGAGCAGCTGGAGATGTGCCTGGGCAGCTTTTGATACTGGAGAAAAAACTCACCACCCAGAGATGCTCTCTCCTGTCAGGCTGCTGGGCTCACTGAGGGACAGGGCAACAGCCAGGGGATGCAGATTTAACCCAGTTTCTCTCCTCCCCAGAAAGCGAGACTTCCCACCATCACCACCGTCAGGGTGCCTGAGGGCTACGACTGGAAGGAGATCACAGCCTTTCTCATGGACAACCATGCCATCGAGATCTCCGGGGGCCTGGGCCCCTCAGTGGGCAAGGTGGGTAGCGTGCTCCCCTCCCGCTGGCCGGGCACCAAACCCAGCTGGAACTGCACCCATGCCCCATAGTTAACTGGTGCTCCCTGGCTGCGAACAGCAAACGCACAGCTGGATGCATCCCGTCCCCTGCAGCGGCGCATAGCGGCTCCTAACCACACACAATTGCCAGGCGTAATTGAGTAACCGCGCACGTAATTATCAGGGTGACAAATCTTTAGAGGAACTGGAGTGTGTTAAAATAGGAGCAAACAGGGAGTTGTACACATGCACTTACACCCAGCAGCGCACACTGCCGTGCCCCTGCTCCACACGGAGCCTGTGCTTTGCCACAAGCCACTCTGCTCGCAGAGCATGGATACAGAGGTGGGTACAGCAGGGAAACACTCGCCCTTCTCCTAGGTCCTGCGAATCGGCCTCATGGGCTGCAACTCGACCAGCAGGAATGTGGACCGTGTGCTGCACGCCCTGCGAGATGCCCTGAGGTGCTGCCGCCGCAGCAGGCTGTAGGCACCCCTTCCCCAGGGTGCCGGCAGGAACACCAACAACACCCAGCAACACAAGCCGGAGCCGGAGGGAGAAGCTGGAAGAGCAGGGGATGTGAAGGTGAGGGCTGTGGCTTGGCAGATGCAGGTCCTGGCTCAAAACCCCTCCTCCCAGTGCCTGTGCAGGGTCACTCCCACCTGGTGGCCTGGCCCCCCAGATTCTCCCCTTCTCCCAGGCGTCAGCGCATGGCAGTCCCACCTCAAGTTGACATGAGGGCTGCATGCAGGATCTGTGCACAGGTCACTTCCCCTACCACCACCATCAACCTGCACCAGAGCCCAACAGTGCAGGACAACAGCCACCCCCCACCCCAGATTAGGCACCCTGGGATGAAACCTGCCCTGGCACCCAGCTCTACCAGGGAGCAGAGAGGCTGTGCATCCCCACCCAGCTGCAGAAGACATGTACTTGCCCTCCAGTACTATCTTTCCTCAATAAAGCAACATGACAGCATCCTGCTTCCTGGCCCCATAGCATCCCTTGCACCCCTCCCTGAGTTTCGAGACACCCAGATGGGGTGGCAGCATGATCGCTCTGAGCTCTGCTGAGGGATTTATCACTGGATCTTGGAGAGGAGCTGGCACATTCCTGAGTGGTGTGCACCATCCTGGATCTGGTACATCTGGAACTAAGTAGAGGCAGGTGGGGAGTGACAGGAGAGGGCTCTCTGCTCTGCTTGAGCCCGGTGCCCCAGCATCTCCATCCTCCCACAGCCTCCAATGGGGATGGGTAGCACATGCCACACCCTAAGCTACCCAGTCCAGGTGCTTTCTGGCACTGCCACAGTGCCTTGCAATACCAGCTGAGGGTCTGGAATTTCCTGGCTGAGCAGGATGTCAAAGCAGGCTGTGTCCCAGCAGGACCTGTCCTCAGTGGGTAGCTGCAGGAGGGCCCGGGGGTTGGGGTCTGCCTGCCAGCTGTCAGTGTGCGCAGTGGAGGATCTGGCTTGAGAAACTGGGAGACCTGTATCCTCACAGCTGGGGAGAGGATACCTGCAATGACCTGAATGCATGGGGATCCCCCCCAAGTCACCCACATGGCCTCAGGCATGCACCATCCTGGATCTTCCTCCCATACCCAACTCTGGCTAAGAGGAACCTGGGAAACTACAGCATGGGAATGCTGCTGAGCAGCTTCTGCCTTTCCAGGAGAGACAGGAGGGGAAGCAAAGCGGGACTGTGCCCTCCTACATGCAGCAGGGAGGGCTGCAGGCTGCACTGGAGAGGCCCCAAGGAGGGGCCAAGCATCCAGTTGGGCCATTTTGTGCCCAAACTAATCCTGGGCTAGTCCAGCTGGATGCTTGGCCCCTCCTTGGGGCTGGGTAGTTGTGCTGGCAGGCAAGACGTGTGTCATCCCAGCACTGCTCCTTCCTGCAGCCTGCCCAGGCAAGCACCTCATCACGCTGCTGCTGCTGGATTCCCAGGCTCACTCCTGAAGCCCGAGCAAGGATCAGAGAGCTGCCACCCTCCATGTGGCCAGGCTTCAGCTCCCGCGAACAAGTGGGGGGGCTCCTTCAGTTACCTCCTCTTCCCCTGTTTCCTAGAGCTGCTTGGAACCTGGCTGAGATTTTTCCCACACACAGGACAGCAGGTTTGGTATCCTGAGGGGATGACTTCACCCCCCTTCTGACGTGTTCCTCCACTTTCCCATCCCCTTTTTTGCCTGCATCTGGACGTGCTGCCAGCCATGGGGTATCCCCAGAGCAAGGTCACCCTGCTTTGTGCATGGCTGAGCTGCTCACTGATGGCAATGGGGAGAGGCAGGGATGTAGCAGGCCTTTTCCTTGGCCTTCCAGAGGCTGCCTTCATGGAAGCCTCTGTCACTCTGCTGCCCCATGAGCTGGAGCAGCTCCTGCCACCTCTTCACCATGGGGACGATGTCAAAGCGGATGGTCTTCCAGCCATCATGGATCAGCAGGGAGAGCACCATGGCATCTTCCTGCAGATTTTCAGTGCTGAGATCACTTAGATGCGAAAGGTTTGGCTGTGGTTAGGAGGTTACCGCAACCAGTCCTGTGGGCTGAACCCAGGTGTGTGCTGCAATGCCCATGGGCACGTCTCACCCCACTCAACTCATCCCTTTCCAACGCTGCGGTTTGGCTGTGGTTCCCCAGCAAAAGCCTTTCTCCAAACTCCACTGGTGTGGTTTTCGGGAAGGAGCATCGCTTTAACAGGGCTCAGGGCCAGTGGGTGTGGGCTCAGCAGGAAGCCCTGAGCAGCTGAACAGGGCCATGCTGCTGGGTGGCTGCACAGTGCCAACACAAACAATGTAGTCCAAGAAAAACAGACCAGGAAAGGTCTCAGGCTCTCGGGGTAGAGGAAGACACAGGGCTCTGTCTTGAACAGGGAGAAAGGAGGGAAAAGTGGGCTTGCTGGGGCTGGGTTAAGAATTCTAGACCTACTGGTCCTCCCACATCAACCCTCCATCAGGGCTAAGATTTACTTCAAGAAGCTCCTTTGAAAATGGAAATTCATGAAGAGCTGATGGGACCCCCTATGGGCATTCCCAGGGTCCCTTCCTACCATGTCCTTCCCAGGAACACCATTCCCAGCTGGGGGCCCATGCAGGGGTCAGACCCATGCCTGAAGGCCCTGGTCCAGCCCCAAGGTCCTGATCCAGCCCTGATGCAGTTCCAGCTCACTCTCCAAACAGCCTCCTCCAGGCAGCAGGAGGCACTTGGAGTCCAGGAGAGATGGGGGTTTGGGTAAGCCAAGCACACCAAGTCTCTGAGGAAACCCTCTCTGAGGACTGAAGGCAGAGGTGTGCGAATGCTGTGTGGAGCTGCCACCTGCCAAGGAGAATGCCATCAACCCAGGGCAGATTCCCAAGGGTGACTGCTGCTGCGGGATGGCAGGGAGTAGTTTACATCTCCCCTTCCTTAGCTGAGGGCAAAACCTGTCCCAGCACATGGCAGGGTGATTGCTCGTTCATGCAGACTTTGGATGGGCCACACACACAGGGACTTGTGCCCCAGCCTGTCTGAATAGGAACCACCACTGAGCTGGGCTCCCCAGCCATGCTGGAGGCAGCTCCCAGCCAGGGAAGCATCTCACTGGCCTCCACACCTGGGTGAAGCAGGAAGCAGCATTGGCAATGCACGATGGCCAAAACAAGGAGCTCTTTCAGGTGCTGGAGGACTTTGACTGGAACCAGGCACCCCGCACCACCCTCCTGCTCCATCACACACAGAGCACTGGTCCAGTCCTCCAAGTCCTCCCCAGAACACTTCCAGATACCACAGGTGTCGAGTCCCAGATGGTGCCTGACTGGGGTGTCCCCAGGCCAGTACACCAGCACCTGCAGGGCATCACTGTGAGTCCACAGGGGAACTTCCATAGTGACAGCATCCTTGGAGGCACAGAGAGAGAACTCGAAGGCTTCCAAGTTCCTGGCATAGTCCACAAGGAAGCAGGGCTCCCTGGCATGGGCATCCTCCAGCAGGGTCAGCAGGACATCCTCGGCCTGATGGAAATGTTCCAGCCACTGCCTCTCATGGGGGCATGGTGGCCCTGAGGGAGCTGTGCCAGTGGGAAGCTCTGGCTGCCATGGCAGCTCTGCTGTTGTCCCAAGCCTGCTCAGAGCAGGAGCTAAAGTATGTGGGCAGGGAGAGCAGGGCTGGGAGCCAGTGAAGGGTGGGTGGAGGGAAGTCACAGCCAGGCGTTGACAAGCGCCGCCACTGGGCACATGCCAGGGAGAGCTGGTGGGAGCACCATGTCCTCCCAGGGTAGACCCAGGGCAGAGAACCAAGTCGCACCGTGGCCTGCCAGGCAGTCCAAGGGTGTGATAAGGAATGCTCATCCAGTGGGTCACAACAGGACGATGCTGTGGTCTCCCATTCCTCTCCTGGCAGCAACATCCGCTCGCAGCCGGTGACAGATGAAGGCAACCCGCTGCCCTCCCACCCTGTCCCGGTTCATCTCAGCTGCCTGGAGCCATCCGGGCAAGTTTGCTCCCAGCTTGTGTTGCATTATGCTGTGGTGGCTGTGGGAGGGCTGTGGGACCCCACACCACCATGGAGGTGCTCAGCACAGTGCTGCTGCCCCAGACCCATGCCCAGCCAGTGGACACACAAGGCTTAGGCTCAAGCTCAGGCTCAAGCTTACCAGATGTGCGCAGACGCCCCTGCCCGTCGGCCTGGCAGAGCCCTGGTCCCGGCCAGGCTCCCCCCCAGTAGGCCCCTTGTCACCCCGGTAACACCGGCCCCGCGGTCTCCGTGGGTTCCCATCGGCACGGCTGTCGGCGACGGCGCTGGCTGCGGGGAGCATCGCCACGGGAGGACGCGCAAACCGGCGCTTAGGACCCCAGGTCCGGCGGGCAGCGGGAAGCGGCGGTCCCCAGCCCAGCCGCCGCCAGGGGGAGCAGGTGCTGCGGAGTGAAGGGCTGCGCTCGGAGCTGAGCTGAGCCGGACCTCGCTCACCTTCAGCCTGCAGAGAGCTGCCTGCCTCAGGCTCAGCCCGTGGGGTTAGGGCAGCTCTGGCCACCACAGAGCAAAGGCTGCCTCTTGCTTCCGCACTGACTTCCTGGCTGCACCCCAGTCCTCCTGCATCTCCCACAAGTCCCGGAGAGGGGAGGTGCATGCTGTACCCGTAAAGGACTCTCCGTCATGGCCTGTAGCGATAGAACAAGGGGGAACAGGATTAAACTTAAACAGGGGAAGCTCAGGTTAAATATGAGTAAGAAGTTCTTTACTGTGAGGGTAGTGAGCACTGGCACAACTTTTCCACAGGTGTGGTAAATGCCCCATCCCTGTCAGTGCTCAAGGCCAGGTTGGACAAAGTCTTGGGTGACATGGTCTAGTGTGAGACGTCCCTGCCCATGGCAGAGGGGTTGGAAATTGATGATCTTAAGGTCCTTTCCAACCCAAACCATTCTGTGATTCCTGGGGATGGTGGGTGACCCACTGGCTGATCAAGGTGAGGAGATGAGGGTGCCCCCTCAGACAGCTTGGCGCTGGTGGGGGAAACAGCACGACCCTGATGTCCTGCTCCCATCAGTGCTAGAGCTTTGGTGCCAGGAGGAACAAGTGTAATGTGACACCCCCCCCCCCCCCCCCCCCCCAGCTCCTCACTGCCTTTGGCATCCGCACTTTGTGGATCTTCTGGTGGCACCATTGAGAGATAGGTACTGCAAAATCATGCCCCCTGCCCCTTCCCACAGGCCAGAGCCTTACCCTTTCCCCTTTTACTTCCTCCTTCCCCTTTTATTTTCCTCCTTTACCTTCCTCCTTCCCTTTCCCCTTTCCCTTCTCCTTCCCCTCTCCCTTTCCCTTCCCCTTTCCCTTCTCCTTCCCCTTCCACTTCCTTTTCTCTTTTTCCTTCCTTGCTCCCCTTTCCCCTTCTTCCTTTCCCTTTCTTTTTTTTTTTTTTTCTTCCATTTCCCCTTCCTTTTCCTCTCCTCAACAGCCAAGGGACCAGGATGAGGCCCTGGAGGAGCAGCTACCCATGCTACCAGGCACAGGGGGGTTGTGCTGGGGCAAGTCACACAGCCAGGCTCAGTGCAGGGCCGGGCGTTGAAAGCAGTACCAGGACATGTAACCCAGTGATGTGTTCATACATGGCACGTCACCACTGGAGGTGAGACTTTGAGGAAGATTTCCTAGCAGGAATGTGAGGCCATGGAAGACATGGCTGGAGCGCATGGTGCTCAGTCCAAACGAGTCACTGGGAGGCTGGTGGGGAATGGCCTGGCACTGGCAGAGGGGCAGGGCTGAATGAGCTAATTGCTTGTTTTCCATCTCAGCATTTTATGGTTCTACGAATTTTTACTCCATTAGAGACAGGAAAGAGAAAACAGCCCCGAAAGAGCAAGGGCAAGTGAGGAACAGGGAAAAAAAAAACAAAAAGCAGGGCATGGGAGTACTCGACATGGCAGAGGTGTATAGGTGGCTGCAGCAAGCCCCTGGCATCCCTCACCCAGCTTGATCCGCCATAGGATCATAGAATGGCTTGGGTTGGAAGGGACCTTAAAGCTCATCCAGTTCCAACCCCCTACCATGGGCAGGGACACCTTCCACTAGACCAGGTTGCTCCAAGCCCTGTCCAACCTGGCCTTGAACACTGCCAGGCATAGGGCAGCCACAGCTTCTCTGGGCAACCTGTGCCAGCACCTCAGCACCCTCACAGGGAAGAATTTCTTCCTAATATCTAACCCAAATCTCCCCTCTGTCAGCCCAAAGCCATTCCCCCTTGTCCTGTCACTGCATGCACTTGTAAAAAGTCCCTCTCCAGATTTCTTGTTGGCCCCTTTAGGCATTGGAAGCTGCTCTAAGGTCTCCGTGGAGCCTTCTCTTCTCCAGGCTGAACAAGCCCATCTCTCTCAGCCTGTCTCCATAGCAGAGCTGCCCCAGCCCTCAGAGCATCTTTGTGGTCTCCTCTGGACTTGCTCAAGCAGCTCCACATCCATCTTGTGTTGGGGTCCCAGAGCTGGATGCAGGACTGCAGGGGGATTCTCATGAGACCAGAGCAGAGGGGCAGGATCACCTCCTTCGACCTGCTGGTCACGCTCCTTTTGATGCAGCCAAGGACACAGTTGAATTTCTGGGCTGCAAGCACACACTGCTGGGTCATGGAGAGCTTAAGAATGCCATGTGCAGCGTCACGGCTGAGGCCTGGGCCCTGCAAGATGCCACTGCCACAGAAAGACATCATCAGTTGTTTGAGCTAGCAGGTGGAGGAGCTGGCATTGGAGACTGGGATGCAGGAGGTAGGTGATGCTCTGCCCCTGCACCCTGGCTCTGCACCGGCCCCAGCGCCAGCACTGCCTGAGTCAGGAGTTCACCCCAAGTGGCATGGCCCCCAGCAAAAAGGCTGGAATGGAGACAGGAGATGCAGGCAGGGGAGGTAGAGAGGAAGGGAGAGTGATTTAACATGACAGGCTGTTTATTTTGGCAAAAAAGGGCTTTCTTTTCAACAGATTTCAAAGCCTGGCCCTGGAGCTGGGGGGTAACACAGAAAGGATCAGGAAAGCAGGGGTATGAGGGGGGGTTCAACGGGGCACTCGGACCATGAGAGAGACACAGAGGAGCCCCCTGCCTGCTCATCCGGCGGAAGCACAGGGTGCTCACAGCCCGGGGTGTGCTCGCATGCTCCGGTGGAGTCACCCCCTTCCAAGGTGCCCCCATGGGCGCCCGCATGCTCCCGCACACACGTGCTTGCCTGCACGCACCCGCGCACGTTCGCACGCTCCCTCAGCCCCTGCGCCTTCCTCCGGGCCAGGGCTCAGCTGGAGTCTTGGCTTCCCCCAGCGACGTTTCAAAAGAGGCTGTTTATTAAGAAAAAAATGCTAGGAAAGAAATAATTATTATAATCACATTAAGAGCTTTGGCTGTAAAAACCCTGTGAGAGCACGGAGAAGGAGCCGAGGCTCTAACGGCAGGGAGCACGGGGGGTGGTTTTCCTGCCTTGTTCTTTCAGTCCCGGTCCAACACCCCCCCCCCTTCCACCCCCTTTTCCTCCCCTTTATCCTGGGAAATGAAAACAATTTATTTAATGATGGATCGTCCCTTTCTCTGGTCACTGACCTTCTGAGTGAATTTCTGCTGAGTTCAGCGGAAAACGCAAGCCTGGGTTGTGGATCCCATCTGTGGGTGGGGGAGGGGGGGAGCTCACCCTCATCCTTCCTAAAAAACACAGCAACAGTCCTGGGGAGCAGGATGGGGCTGGCGGGGAGGGCCCCCACAACAGCAGGAGGCTTTTCTGCCATCACTGCCCATGCAGCCCTGGCCCCAGGGCTTCGGGAGCAGATATGGTTGCTGGAGTTGCCCTCAGAGCCCCCCAACCCCTCCACCCCCTTCTCTCTCCAGGATGCCCACAGGGGTTTCTGGCACCCACTGCCTTCTCCTTGACCTGGTCTGGGATGCAAAGGCTGTGCTGGGGTGCAATGCTGGAGTGGGAGACAAAGGAGCTGTACCCAGTGTAGCTGTGGGGAACAGTGCAGTGGTCTCCATCCTGCCAGCAGCTATTCCGTGCCTTGCTGCCCAGTGGCAGGGCAGCGATGGGCTTTCTTGGCTCGGGGTGGCTGGAAGAGGTGTTTTTCAGACCTGGACATGCAAAGGGGCCAGGCACGAGGCCAGGGACAAGGCCTGGGACGTGTGTGGGGCTACATGGGGCTCCAGCAGCAGCTGGCAGTGTGCACCCCACAGCAGGCAGTTTGGCTGCCAGCCCATCCAGTGCTTGGCCAGGCTCTGCTCCTCTGGGAGGGGAAAGCCAGGGAGCGAGGGGAAGGGGCAGGATCACACCAACCAGTCACTTCTTTTTTGGGAGGGAGCTGTCAGCACCAAGTGTGCATCGCCCGGGGCCCGGGCACGGGTGCAACCTGGCATCCCCCACCATCCATCCTGCTCAACCCCCAGCTGACCTGCAAAACAGGGATGGAGCAATCCAGCATCCAGCCCCCTCCCCTCTGCCATGGCCTGTTGCTCAAAGCATGGTTCTTGTAAAAATGCGTAAATATTTATACAAGAATAATTTAAAAAACATGGTCTGTCAAATAATCAAAGCAGCAGAACATCTGAAGAGCTTTCAGCTGGATTGGGAAATCCGGTGTTGCTTTCCGACACCATGCTGTGATGCTGGAGGTGCTCACGGATGGCCCTGGCCCTGCGGGCTGCTGGACTTGCTGGTGTGGATTCACGGCAGGTTTGAGATTTTCATCCATGTGGTTTGGGGACCATGGCAGTGGGAGGCTTTCATTTGTATCAACTCAAGCTGCCAGCTGCCAGGAGCCCCAGCTGGGGACAGAACTTCACTGAGCACCAGTTTCAGACTCACATCCTGGTTTTGGTACTGTCCCTTGCACCAGGACCCAACCAGGAGCTGGAGGAATCCTTTGGTGAAGTGCTGCAT